ATATTTATTAATCAAGAGGTAGAATAAATTAATATTTAATTATTTAATTTTTTCTTATTTTTACTTTCCTACCTATAACAGGTAAGGAAAGTATTGCTATCGGGTGAAATTTCCGATATGCGGTTTTCGACGGATCTATACGTTTCAGAGCCCCGAGTTCGTAAAACACATTTTTAGCCATTGGTCTGTCTGTCCGTCTGTGCCATGATTTTCTCGGGAACTAGTTAACCGATTTTGTTGCTTCTTTTTTATTTTGTAGGGTTTTGACTACTAATGCCTTGTGTCACAAATTGGGTGCTCCATGCGCAATAGCTGATGTGCAATAAATGAAAAACAGGTTTTTATATACACTGTTGCGCAAAAACGGCTCTAACGATGTTGATGAAACTTTCCTATAATGTTATAACAATTTTCCTTTCAATTTTCGTAAATGGACTAAATTTCCGAGAAAATTCAGGAAGAAAAAATATAAACAAAAGAAAAATGTTTTGGAGATAAGTCGCTAAAAACCCTTAAAAACAATACGAATGGTTCATTTCTGACAACTATTGACGGAGTTACAGCTATTCAATTTCCAGTGTAAGATTACGGGTTCATATCCTGATATCAGAAGAGAGAAAGGGCTGAATGAGAGAAAAAAGATACTAAGTGAAAGTAAGAAAATCTATTGCCCGCATCACAGAAGCTTCACTATTTCCTCAGAAATTATTGCTTGACAAAATTAGGATATGGCAAACAGTTTTTGATCAGCAATATTTTAGGGTATTGAAATTTTTAAACTGATCTACCTTAAGGCGGTTTAGATTGGTTTAGTTTATCAAATAAATCGTTCTCAAATCTTTTATTTGAGCAATTTTCAGGAAAACAGATCTAATTCAATTTGTTTTTTTTATATCTTTACATGGACATATGTAAAGATATAAATACTTTTCTGAAATAGGTAGGAAAGTCATGTGAGTGGAGACACCAGATTTTTTTTTTTTTCCTTTACCCCAAGGGATGTGGTGTTGAGAACAGGAGGTAGGCCGGAATATATTTCACTTCTTTTACTGCACATGGTGCATTTTAAAAGAGAGTAGGGGAACTAGGAGTACGGTATATTATGTTGTCCATCGTTGTTTTGGTGTAAGTCTTAGTCTAGTTATGCGGCTCACTAGTATTCCAGTACAATTATTGAAGTAAATTAAATTTGGAAATTAAACGAATTGAGTTGAATGTATGTATGATTTATTTTTTTAAAAATCTATTTATTGAATAATAATACAATCAGCCACTGCTGGAGGGCTGTAAGTATTAGGGCTAAGAGTTCTCATTCATACAATATATATACATAATAGAGAAATAAATATGAATATAAAAAGTAAATAAATAATACTGATGAATAATATAAGTATAAAAAGTAAATAAATAATACTGATGAATAAAGTAAATAAAAGAAGAAAAAAAGTAAACAAATAACATAAAATAGAAACTTCTAAACACAATCATACCTATATACAATACATACATTCGCCCAGGAATCTCCGAGCCAGGCTTTTTCCCCCACATGTGGAAGGCAAAGCAAGACTCCAGGAGATACCAGTGTCACTTTTCCAGCCGCATCACTAGTATTAGAAGCCAGTGGAGACTGAAAGAGGGCACTAGAGCCACAGATAGGTTTCAGTATGGTCTTGTAGATTAAAAGTTTATTTTCAATCGAAAGATGGGATGTCCTACTTAGTAATTTATACAGCTGGGCATATCGTCGGTTAAGTTCTTGTCTTTTAAGTCTGGTATGTGGGTTCCAAGTTAGTCTTTTGTCAAGAAGGAAGCCAAGGTAACGGACTCTGTCTGAGTAGGGAAGTGGAATTGAATTAAAAAGGATTAGCGGACAGGATCTGCGTCGCAGGGTGAAAGTGATATGTTTGCATTTTGATTCATTGATTTTGATGCGCCAGTTGTTGCACCACTGCTCAATCAAGGAGAGGTGAGATTGTAGGTTTAGAGATGCTATTTGAGGATCTGAGCGGGAGGATAGGATGGCAGTATCATCAGCAAATGTAGCTAGAAATATATGGGGATTTGAAGGGATATCGGAAGTGAAGAGGATGTAGAGAACTGGTTCCAAGACACTGCCTTGTGGAACACCAGCCTCAACTGGATAGTAAGTGGAGAATGGAGAATTCGGTGTCACAACGGACTTGAAAGGAACGATTTGAGAGGTAGGATTTGAGGACTAGGTATAAAGATTGGGGTAAATAGGTTTTGAGCTTGAAAAGCAAGCCATCGTGCCACACCCGGTCGAAAGCTTGCGCTACGTCCAGAAAGGCACCAGTGCAATAATGCTTGTTTTCAAGTGCAGAGGATATATGGCCCACAACAAGAAGGCCTTGTTGGACAGTGGAATGTCTTGAGCGGAATCCAAACTGATGAGAAGGGATGTTGTGGGATTCGATTATGGGTAGGATGCGTTTGAGAAGGTTTTTCTCAAAGATTTTTGAGAGGATCGGGAGTAAGCTTATCGGTCTATAGGATGATGTGTTATTAACTGGTTTACCTGGTTTTGGAAACAGGATGATTATGGAGTGTTGCGAAATTACATCAGACACTTACAATCAGTGTTACGACTTATGACTTTTGACCTTTTTTTGGTAAATTTTCCAAAGGTAAAAAATAAGAATTTAAATAATTTTGAAAAGAGATTTAATTCATAGAATTTTTATTGTGCGGTACGACCTTACTTATTCATAATGAAATATACGTACTTTCAAATCTCTCTTTGTCTATTGAGCTCGAAGATTAGTTATATGATTCAAATAGACTTATGCAGTTATAAGGTTTTTATTGCCTACAATGCATATAATAAATAGGGCTTATGTTATTTTGATGGTCTTAATAAGTTTTTGTATTGATGAATATGACCAAATTCAAAAATATGTTGTTTACGGTTTAGTTGCATTAAAAACTTCTATTTTTTATGTCAGACAAGAATTGAATTTCGAAGTAGAGCAGTAAATGAAAGTTGTGTGTTGCGCGCACCGGATTTTGTATTATTTTTTCATATTTTATTATTCTCTAATTATCTTTAATAGAAGGCCAATTATGACGAAATTTAGTCAGCTGCTGAATTTCAGCGACCAAAATACTAACTCAAATCAAAGAGGGCAATTCATCTTGTTTAAACGCCATTTTTGGAAAGTGCGGTCACTTTATTTTGAGAAAACATTGGTTTTTTTTTAATAATTAGTCACAAGAGATACAACTATATGCAATGTATTGGGATGTGGGGGAAGATGCTCGGTAGGCGTTCCGGGTCAACGTTTAATATACTTTTCAAAACACCTCCCGACTACGGTCTACCGTTCCAGTCAATAAAATAAAAACATGATCTTCAAGAAAAATCTCCGAATTCTTCGGACGAGATTCAAACTGGAATTACAGAATCTTTTCGTTCAAAACTGAGAGAGCACTATTGTGAATAAATTGAAATGGATAAATTTTGAAAGCTCGATAATTTGCTTCCTGTTGGGTTTAGAAAAATATTATGTTCACAGATGTTATATTTTAAGCTTTTTATGATTTAATACAACTATTTTTTATCTACGTCCCTTTAAAAAGGAGATATTTAGCTTAAACCAAAAAAAGCTCGAAATTTTAATGATTTTTGGACCACTGCAGCAAACCCACAAGGTTTTCAAAAGCGGTAACTTGTATTTTTTGATACTATACAAAGTTGCAAAAGAAAATGAGAAGCAACGAAAACGTATTAAATTTAACAAATTTGATTGGCGGAAAATACTTGGCAATTAATTATTTTAAATTAAGTTATACCGTCGTTTTCATAAATGAAAATACTTATCTACTCTTAGGTTGGTAAGTGAAAGCTGTGTGATGTGCGCACCGCACCAGATTTTTTTTAATCACTCCATGAATGCAAAGCTTCCTTGCCTTTGGAAGAGACTAAATAAAACTGCTAAATCAAATGAAAGCTTATTTTGATTTTATGTATCTCGACTCCACTGAAATTTTAATATCCCCATCCCCACATATATTATTACAGTAAGGCTGGAAATCGGTTTTGTGCCAAATATAAGCTCCTACCAAATACCATGAATGGGGTATCGTTGGATTCAGAATTTCACGGGGGGTTAGCGAATCGTATTTTCCACTTTTGTTTTTCTGTCTAAAATAAATAAAGTCGATACAAACATTTTGCTAGGCTTCAATACTGAAACGGTAGTAGGTCTGTAGATCGATACGGAACAAATTGAATCTTGAAGATTTTGATGCGTACAGCAAGACCCGGATAGTTCCTCCGGAACTATCGGATCCTGCGTTTTTAAGCCAAAAACGAAAGGCATAGGGTTCGCATCCACACAGCCTTACATTAATTGTAGTACTGTCATTGAATGCATGTCTCATTTCGTCGACTTGAGGTCTCTATGATCGAGAGAGGAGGAGTTTATATTATACATCGATGGTGTTTTTGATCGCCATGCCCCATTTCATCGTTAATTTTTCACCAAATCTCAAGATTGAGCTACCAATTTCGAAGGTTCCCTTCTCCTTCAGGCGGGCAAAATAGTCCAATCAACCCGAAAAATCAGACAAACAAGTTATGAAAGAAAACAAACTTTATTTGCGAATAACTAAAAAAATACACACTTTTCCCTTGGTTATGCCCATGATCATATAAAAGATTTCTAAATTACCTACAAAAGGAAAAAAAATCATCAAAATCGGACTATTTTTAACAAAGATACAGCTTACTGAAATTTGTGAAAATGTTGGTTCCAAACAAAAATGAAGATTTAAATTAATTTTTTTTTTCTTTGTCGATTATATTTATCGATAAAGTAACATTTGATTTCTTTATCTGTTGATACGTTGCATTATTTGATTTTCTTATTAATTTGGCATTTGATAACAATAAGCTGTGCGAATTTTTCGCACGGGCCAGCTAGTTTTTTTTTTAATCAGATAAGATCTAAATTACAAGGTTAAATAGTTAAATACAATATTTATATGACGTATTGTATAGAACTCACCGGCAAGGACAGGAGGAACTGCAACCTCTGAATTGGAGATTGCCCTTTCCTGGGCCTCGCAACGACGAAGATCTCCTCCAAATCTGGACAAGAGGACAACAGCCTCTCGATAAGGACTCCTCCTAGGAAGCCAGTGGCCCTAGTCACAAGAACCGTCTTGGAAGCGAAGAACTCTTGAATCCGTCCCATCGCGACAACAGACTTACTCCAAGTGGACACTATATTCAATCCCTTCACAAAAATTTCGTCGCTCTCACTAACGGTCATTCCAAAATAACTATTTATAAACCGAAACCTTGCACTTTCTACTTACTATTATATCAAGTTTGATTTCTTATATCGGAAATAAGAGATGGTAATGGTCTATATGTATCATTTTGTAATACCCCTCTTCGAATCCAAAGTTTTAGCACAAACTTTCACAAATTATTTAATTTATTTTATAGAAGAATATAATTAAATAATATAAAAATATATAGAATAAAAGAATTTTAAAGAAGAATAGAAGACGATTATATTAAAGGAGAGTGCCAATATTTTCATTGCCTACTATCGATAGGTCAAAAATCGTCATACTTATTGTTAGTGGATATTATTGTGATTTTACCAAGAGAAAATTTATCAAATTATTCACTAATGTAATTTTCTAAAATATTATATTATGGACTTTCGGCATGATAGATACCTAATTATTTACATATATTATCGGATTTAGTGTTATTTTTCTTATTTTTTTAGAAAAAGAAACTTTATTCTGGGACAGAGTCCCCTCAGAATAACAATAATGAACAAAATAAAAATAAAATATATAACTGGCCAAAGACTAACTTTCTATATATTTCTAAAAATATATACAGTAATATAATAATAATATGTACACTACTCAAAAAAAACGTCTGCCAAGTAAGGTCAGTATAGCTTCCTCACCGATTTCATTGGCTAAAATATATCTATATTACAAGGTATCATATATATATATATATATATATATATATATATATATATATATATGTATTACATTATATGTATCGCGGAAAAAAACAAGTAATAAAAGCTTTGCAACAGTTAATTGTAGTCATTTTTGCAGAAAACACGGGCAATTTTATGTGACTTGATAGAAAATCATTTCTTTACACGACTTGATGAAAATCTCATAATTTTTCCCGATAAACCTCAACTTGATTAATATGAACAATAAATCTTATTAAATGAGGGAATTTTTCTAAAAGTGGAGTGAATGTAGTACAGTTGAACGGTGATAAAAAAAAAAACACAAATAATTTATAACTTGTTTTAACAGAAATCAGGTGTGTTTGTCCACCCAACAGTGTTGGTTAAATAGTTTCAACAATGATAATCTCTACTTTCGTTTAAAGTAAATTTTATCTAGCTTACTATGGAGCAATTTTTAATTGCTTAAATCAAATATTTTTTATTTTATTCTTTCCTATTCGACAAAAAACGAGACTCGCTTAAAAAAAACAAAACACAAATCTTAAATTTCCAACTTTTCTGCTGGAAAATGGGCAATTGTTTCTATAATTTTTTTTTTTTAATCTTGATGTCTTCTATCAACCTTTTAAATATTTCCCTCTACTTACGGGCCACTCTGTATAGTGTAAATAGATTTTCATTTTCATAAAAAAAATCGTTTTTCATGAATAATGAATGACAAAGCAAAACTGTGATATTCATAATTATATTGTATGCTTTTATTACACGTTATTAGTTAATAATTCATCTAATACAGCTCATCAGATAACCACTTACTAGGTATATTATAATTATAATAAAATTAAATAAGTAAATTATACCCGCCTGCCTCAATGATGGCTTAAAGAGCGTTACCGCTAAGCCCGGCGTTTTTAGTTTTATTTCTCTTGTTAGCAACAGCAGATACAAAACATCAAACACAATAAACAAAAAAAAAATACCATAGGGAAACAATAATTTAAGTATTTGTGTTTCTTATAGTTTGTGAGAGGTCTAAACGCACCTTTATAATTGCTACCCAAGTAAAAACTGAATTCGACCGACATTTGAGTGTTTATACAATTTAACTTGGAAATAAAGTTGATGTAAGGAATAAAAATATGCTGTTAAAATATTTGTAGCAAACTTTACTAAACCCCCCGTAAAATAAATAAATAACAGTTGAAAGTAACGTACTCATTAGGAATCTAAACAGTAGGGCTCTACAGGTACAGAGTTAAATTGCATAAGCATTTGATTACAGACAAATGACTGGATGCAGTTGAGACCTAACATTTATTTAAGTGAGCACAGGCGATACTAATTAACAGGCAACTGTTTCTTCTACGCATGCGACATTTACCAACATTTTAGAAAATAACTGTTCTAGGTTTTCTTACTATGGTGAGATAGGATATAGGGGATCAATCCAGTCAATTCTACGTAGAAAATCACAAACCACATATCCTTGGTCAAGCAATTGATTTTTTAATTAACTGATCAATTTATGTGTTTACAATGAATTTAACGTAAAAGTCGAAAAAGATGTTATATATGTACAGATTCAGAATCTGCTCATAAAGCTATGAGTTAAAATTCATTTGCAAACTCATTAGTCACAGACACAGTTAGACATATAAAAACATTGGAAAGTGTTGGATGTAAGATACAATTTTTGTGGTTACCGAGTGACTCAGGTATTACAGGTAATGAGCTAGCCGATATGGCAAAAAAAGCATTCAAGGAAGGAACTCCAGTAGGGTATGCTGTTCCAAAGAAAGTATTAGCTTTGGTAAAGAGAAAGGCTCTGGAGAAATGACAGGGTATCTGGCATGTTTTAAGAGACAATAACTTGAGAGTGGTCGAGCCCTCTGTAGTTCCAAATCGAGCTGACTACAAAGTTCAACAGAAGAGAAGAAATAATCCGGACAAGGTTACGAATCGGAAACTCACAGCTAACTCATGAGCACCTAATGACAAAGGAGACAGACACCCCAGTGTCGCTGCTGTGGGTCAATTTAACAGTCAGGCACATTTTTACAGAATGTAATGCATATGAAGCACAGCAGAATGAAGTGGAATTGGAGAATAAAATTGATGAAATTTTGTAAAGCGCCACCTAAATTGCAAAAAAAAAAAATTTTATTTCTTCAAATAACGCAACTATATAACGAAATTTAATTTTTACTTACATTTTTTAGAAATTTTAATGTTTTAAATATTTTGTAATTTCAAATTTATTGTTAAATTTCATTGTATGTAATATAAATACTGGCTAAATACGGGCTAAAATGGCCGTAAGAGATAGTGGAGCTCCCATCGTTACAAACACAGGCGGATCTACGGGGGAGGCTTTCGGGCTGAAGCTCCCCTTCCTCCTCCCAAAATTGTAAAATATACAAAAAAAATATTAAAAACAACCTCTTAAAATATTCTTGTTCGTTTAATTACATTTGATAGGACTTCAAGAACCACTTAAACACCATTTCATACAGGTAGATAATTTCTTTCTTTTTTTTAAAAATTAATTATCGTTATATGTATAACAAAAAAAATCTTTCGGGCTGAAGCCCCCCTCCAAAATTAAATTCTGGATCCGCTAGTGGTTACAAATAAATACTGCAATGATCATATCTGAGTTTTCTTAGCAATTAAGTGAAAAAACATTGTGGCAAAACAGTTGTTCCAGAAGATCGTGGCTGAAGCGTCCCTGAACATGTTTACTACCATCCTAGTGACAATATGAGACTAAAATGGAAGGTGCCTTCAGGCTGTAAATTTAGGTATTCATTAATTAAATTTAAAAAAATAGTGCAGAATTAACTATAAAAGGACGATTTTGTAAAACCTTTTTACTGTGATCTAGTTAGTATTAGTGTTAGTGCAAAAAAAGTACATATAGAGGACACAATAAATATTCTGCACTGTTATTTTCTAGAATTTTTATAATTGAAATTGTGTCCCCAATTTTAGCGTTTCGTTCCTCTGTGACGGCGCTGTACAAAAATAAACTGAACTCTAAATCGGTAAACATGATGCATGCGTCGTTTATCAAAAAAAAAAAAAAAGAATGGAATTCCTCTCTATCAATCATATTTAAATAAAATAAATTATAGAGAGATGGATATTTATATTGTTCTTCAATTTAGAGCAATGGGTAAGTTTTGTCATGTATGTACATCATATATAGATTACAACAATCCTAATACTTTAAGTTAAAAAAAATTGTTAATATAAATAAAAACAATTGTTTGTCTAAAATTTTGTAACTCAACAAAAAAGTATATTTAGAGCTCAAATATCCACATGATTTCTTCGTTTATAAAATAAGCATTAAACAAAAAAAAAATGTAAAATTCAAGTATAAAGTATGGTAATAAATTATGAAACCGCCAGAATAGAGAAAGTCCCAAAACAACTGGTATAAAATGAGGCAAGGGAAGAACTAAGATGGAAGAAGACAAGTGTGGTTGGAATCCAGTATGGATTGCCTGCTCAGGCACGTATCAAGAAAAATGCATTCATAAGTTCCACCAAGGTTTGCTTCTCCCTCCATTCCCTTGAAAAATTTCCGTAATCTATCAGGCTCATTTCCTAACCCTACTAACTCTTTCAGTTTTTCTTTTATGCTTTTTTTTTCAAATAGATGCCAATATACTACACTACCTATAGGTATACAATATTTGATCAGTCTATTGTCGTTGAATACAGGATATGATTCCAGAAAAAAAAAACGGTAAACAGGCTAGCTCAAAATTCAAATTTTTCGTTTTATTGATGTATATAAATAGTTTATTGTCTCTGAAATATTCCTTTAGAGCACTAATTTTTCTTAAAAGATCGGTGTAGGAATCGGCAAAAATAGTCATGCCATCTGTAAGCAAGAGAAACAAAATGTCAACATATTTGTCAATAGGTATACCTGATAATTTAGGCTTGTAGAAGTATACAACGTAATCCGATAAAAAGAGATTAAACAGCATGGGTCTCAGTGTCTCTCCTTGAAGCACATCTTTAGTAATTTTCATCTTCAGTCATTCATATTTTTCAGGACTCGAATTATTTTCTCGCTCAAACCTATAGATATATTTTTTTCCTAATAAGGTGTGATTAATGAAGTTAAAAGCCCGACGATAGCCAACAAAAAGATTTCTCTTTTAAAAATTGATATTGGATAACCGTATTCAAGATGAAAACATTATCTAAGTAATTTCACCTGTTTTGAGTCCTGATTAACATTCAGACCAGACTTGCAGATGACTACCAAGCGTTCTGAGTGCTTCGCAACTTAACGCAAACAAGGATCCGGCGTGGAAAATCCCTCTACTTCCATGAAGCCCTTCCATCAATTTCGGATATCAAATCAAAACGGCTACTGCTCCGTAAACTTTCTATTTGTGATCCTTCCAGATCCCCTAAATCAGACTTTCCAATATCCCCTGATGATCTAAACTCGCATTTTATATCTGTTACTAATACCTCTCATTTATCCTCCTCTTCCGACTTTCCTCTAGAGATATCATTTAACGACAATAACTTTTATTTTTCCGACATTTCCTCCACAGACCATTTAACCGCTGTAATGAAATCCCACACCAATACCATAGGACTAGACGGCATCCCTGTCAAATTAATAAAATTATGTCTCCCTGAAATCCTCCCAGTTCTCCTTTTCATCTATAATTTTTCCCTTCAGAATTCAGTGTTCCCAACATCTTGGAAAAAAAAAACATTGTTCTTCCTTTGAATAAAAATTCTAATCCAACCTCACCTCACCTGATGATTTCAATTCTCAATTCTTTCCAACCTCTCAAAACCACTAGAGAGATTGGTGCAATCCCAAGTTTCCAACTTCCATAAACAGTACAACCAACTTGATCCTCTCGAATCTGGTGTCCGTCCCAGCTACTCCACACAATCCGCCTTAAATAAATTCACCAGCGACATTCAAACTCCGATAGATGATAAATAGTTAACTATCCTAATCCTTCTCAACTTCTCCAAAGCCTTTTATTTCATTAACCATTCCATCCTTTTCAACATACTGAAATTAATATCCTTCTCCAATAGTTCCATCTCTTGGTTTCAATCTTTCCTCTCACAACGTACCCAAGCATTCTCCATACCCAATCAACCACTATCTGCCTTCCTTCGTTTATCCTCTGGAGTTGCCCTGGGTTCAAGCATATCTCCTCTCCTTTTCAGCTCCTACATAAATCAATTCTTCATTGTTCCCACCAGGCGATTCCCAGATCTACCTGTCCTTTTCCCTCCTGAGTTATTGGTAGTATTTGCCAAGGTCCAAGAAGACCTTGATCGAATCAGTGCCTGGGCAAATGTAAACGGATTAAGGTTAAATTCTGCCAAAATTCAGACCATTGTCATTGCTTCCAAGCCCCTCCTTTGATCCCATAACGACTTTTCCAAACTACACTTTAATGACCAGCCAATCTGCTTCTACTCCTCAATTAAAAATTTAGGACTTATCATTGAAAGAAACCTCTTCTGGAATCACCATATTTCTCACATCTCTCGACGGTCAATTTCCACCCTCAAACTATTCCATCGCTTCCGCCATCTTCTACCTCAACATACACTTAGACTCCTAATTTCCTCTCTTATTTTCCCCCACTTTGACTACAGCTGTGTGGTGTATGATGGAATCTTTGTGAAGCACTGTGATAGACTGAAAGGCTAATGAACAGCTGCGTAAAATTTCTAATTGGGGTCCCAAGATACTCCCAGGTCTCTCACCACTACACTAAGTTAAGGTGACTTTTCTCCTCCTTCCGAAGACAATATGTCCTAGGTACTTTCCTCAACCAAATCATCAACAATCTCATCACGTTAAGAAATGATGATGATGTATTTATATATTAATCAACATTTAAATGATAATGTATTTATATATTAATCAACATTTAAATGATAATGTATTTATATATTAATCAACATTTAAATAATAATGTATTTATATATTAATCAACATTTAAATGATAATGTATTTATATATTAATCAACATTTAAATGATAATGTATTTATATCTTAATCAGGCACTTAATATTGCCAGGTTCAGCTTCCTCTTTTCTCAACAGAAACACAAAGCTTATTTTAATGAAGAATTTAATATATTTTTTTTTTCTTTATTGTTTTCTTAAGTTTATACTGGTCTATCACTGCAAATAGCTTTAAGTATTTTGCCATAGTGTTAATTGTATATAGTTTCATTTGTTTTGTATATAGAATGTTTACCTTATATTTTCTTTACATTACTTCTTTTTTTCTATTAATTTTATTTAGGCCAGATGTAATCTTTTAATTTTGTTATTCTCAAGGGACTTTGTCCCAGAATAAAATTATTTTTTATCTATCTATCTATAGGACAGAAACAAGTACTTTCGGGATCAGAATGGTCCGCCTTCAAACTATGCATCGTTTTGCGGAGTCCCAGGAGCCAGTGGACAGTCAAAGGAAGTTGGATCCCTCTGTTATAAATGTGGCAGAGAGTCTGAAAGACCAGCCCATGTGCTGCGAAAATGCCCCAACAACTTCCTCCTCGTAACACGCCAGCACCATATGATCAAATTCGAATTGATGAGCCTCCTTAGAGAAAGGGAATTCACATGCTTCACGAGATCTATTGTGTCGATAATGGTGGCTCAATGAGATATGCGGATATAGTTGCATTCTCAAGGACCGGAGAGACAGCACTTGGATCCAACTGTTTGTATTCGTTTTGACAGCAATGACCTCGATCAGACGAGTGAAGTAGAAAAAGAATAAATAAAGAATATAGAATATACGATAAATGTATCCCTTTCCTAAAAGAGAAATTCCACGAGACCTTCGGAGAGAGAGAGTTCACCACGAGAGGCCTCTGGAAAAGAACTCTAATGATTTCGATTCAATTCGTTATATCAATGTAAAGTTAAGCATTTTTTGAGAAAGATTTGGTCGGGAGAGGGTGCAGTCAAATAAATACTAAATTGTTAAAATAGTATATTTATGGTTACACCGACGTTTCAACCCATCTTCATCTATCATATAGATGAAGACCTACAAGGTGGGTCGAAACATCGGCGTGACTATTAATATACTACTTTCACAATTTAGTACTTATTTGACTGCACCAACTTCTTCACATATTACATCACAGTCAACCATCTCTACATCATTAAGCAGTTTCCAATATAATGGTTTTCTTCTCATTGATGTTCTCTAAAAGGGCTTAAATGGCTAATCTTCAATATTTCTTCCTCTAATTTAACCTTTAATTGTTTTTTTATTTGAAATAATTAACCATTTCACATTAAACATGGATATAACAAAGAGTTAAATAGAAAATATTAAATAATTTGGTAATTAACTATAGGAGAAATGAGAGATTGTAACGGAGAACAGTTGGAATGGAGGGAACAAACGAATACTGAGCTTACCAATGTGTATGTATGTGATCAGTCTAGCTCAAAAACAAAAAGTTGTACGAAACTGATATTAGGTATTTAAGAAAGATATATGCCTTGGATGTGACAGCAACTGTTACGTTAAAATCGACTAAATTAAGGAAGTGTTACTTTATATCAACGGTTGTACACATTTTTACAATTTTCTCAAAAACGTTACTAACGATTTTGATTAAACTCGGTGTATCAATGTATAATTAAGAGGTCTTTATTGCCATTGAGGTCTTATCCCCACTGATGTCACTTTACAGGACTTAAATGTTCAACATGTCTTCCTCTAAAGTACCTTTAATTTGATTTATTAGGTCGAAAATGAATTTCTGCAAGTACTAGTCAGAAGGCAGGGTATAATATATCATTTGAAAGCAGAGAATTTTAGAAAAAACAATATCTAATATGGAAAGTCATAAAAAGTAATGGAGAGTGAAGAATAATTACAAATAATAATTTGTTAAAACTAATATTATTTAACAGAAATCACATGTTTTCAAGGAAATTAAAATGAAATTTACTAACTAAATGTAAACTTTTTAAGTTTGGAAAAAAAAGTATTTAAAATCCAACCAACCAAGGCAATGGCATTTATCAAAAAACTGTTTCATAGTGCTTTTGTGAAAGAGGAGTTCGGTATGGACCGTTGACTTAATAACATTGTCTTTGCGCTACTTAGTTTCACGCTTAGAAACGTTCTACACCTACGTCGACGATTGTTCGCACAATTACAGATAAAGAGTTAAAGAAGTGATTAGTTAAATTTGGTAACAATAGTGGTGCAGATAGTTTATCAATTACAATAGCAATATTTGGCAATTATCAGAACAGACATCACTTATCTAGATTGCTGGCTGGATCTGGGATCTCCTCACCACATCGCCAAGTTCAAGTTACTTATCTCTTATCAGACTACAGCTGTGTAATAAACATCAATGGTCACTTAATTCAAATTAATTTTGAAAGTCTTAATCTATTTATTGCACTAGCCGTATTAATTTATTATATTGTGATTTTCTCAATTTACTTTGATTGTTTTACGGAAAAATTGATGCAGAAACTACTTTAAATGATGTAATGATTGATCCTTCTGAGGGGCACAAATGATTTCGTTAAAAAGGGAAACGAGGAGATGAGAACTTTGAAATAATCGGTTGGATGCTTTAAAATTGAGTTGAGCTTTACTAATCCGTAAAAGCACAGTTATTAAGCTGATAAAACCACCTTTAAGACTAATGACTATGATGGACAGGCATCCCAAGAACCAAATAAATGTTGCCATGGACACTAAGAACTACACTGCATATTTCATTATAAATAATTAAATGGTCATAGTTAATAACAAATATTGCTACTAACTAATAAATCCATTCAAGCGATTACTGAATTACTGTAAAAAAAAATAAAATAAATAATAAAACTATAGTAAATAAATACAAATTTTATTCAACAGCAACATAACAAGATAGTTTGGATTGACTTAAGAATTACCACTCCATTATTTTTCTAGTTACAAAAATATTTTTCTTTTTCGTAAAAAAAATTTTCAATAAAAATAACAGTTCAATCAACACTAAAACTTCTCTATTTTACATTTTATTTCTTTTTTGTTTTAAATAAATGTATATATAAATGATGGAATAACAACGAACATGTTCAAAACGAAAAAAAATAAATAAAAAAATACAATTTACTATTCCTAAATAATAAATATAATAAAACCGTAACAATTGTTAACATCTTAACTTATATTCAACTAAAAGAGAAATATATATAAATATATATATATAGGAATTGTATTCCATTAACTAAAGAAATAAAACTAGTTTTAAAAACAGCTAAAATGTCTATCTTTAAATAAATCACAGATCAGTGTGATTGGTACCCAAATGCTATTGCAAAGAACTAAATGATTTCTAGGCCATTATACAAAGAACAATGTAAAGTTTAAATTAACTAATTTGTAGGCAGAATCAGAGCTCAAGATTCCTGGAAAAGGGGCGACTCAAGGAACCTGTACACGAGAGTGAGCTTGGCTGGAGTCAGAATAGGAAGTCTAAATGCTGGTTTTCATAATTTATTCCCTCACTCCAACAAGGTTATGGTTTTGATGTCATCGGCCTCTTCAGTGAGTGATGGGTGGACCTCAGCAACTCGGACACTTCACCAGAGTAATAAATAAATAAAATATATTTGGTCTATGTCCGTATTAAACCTGGCCTACTCATTAAGTCTAATGGAATATTTCACTAAATCACAGGATTCCTCATGGTTGAGTTTTGGAAAAATAAGACCACTGAAATTTAAAAAAAAAAATTATTAGAAATGTTACATGATAAATCAAAAAACATGCTACATGATAAATATATGACACCTAGAAGCAAAGGGATCAAGAGAAAAAACAGGAATATTGACTTCCAGTAAGAATTTTTATTTACATAACAAAAGGTTTTCGTCTACAGCACTGATACCAGTTAAACACAACATTTCTGGAAAGCCTAACCAGAAAAGATTGAATATTTATTTACAAGTCTTAAAGTAAGCAGAGAAAGAAAACTATTAGATAATTTTATCTCTGACGTTTAGAGGAATAATTTTGATGATCCTGAGGCTGAAGTAGGACTTGGAAACGTAAGATCATATACAAAGTAATAAAACAAATGTAAGATTAAGTTCACAATATGACTAACTTTATTTACATTTTTATTACTTTTTTTACAAAGTATTTATTACAATTTTGGCTGTAAAATTTTTAATCATCCATGGTTACAAGAGAAATAGACAAGACAAGAAAAAATTAGAGCAATAGTTTAAAATCAAAGCAATTGATAAAAAAAAGGTATAGTTAAAAAATTAAACATTACATAAAGAAGAAAACAGTTGAAAATTAAAAAGCAATTGATAAAAAAAAAAAAAAAAAAAAGCGCAATAAAAGTAAAATTAAAGTAGCGAACACAAAGAGAGACATACAACACTAGAGATTAGAGAAAACTGAGGAGAGAGAGGGGAATCCGAGCCTTGACGGTATAAGTCGACGGCACCCGATGATTGCTACCTAGACACTAGTGACCAAAGGTTGCTAAGTGAATAAAAAAATCAACTCCGAACACAATATCTTTTTATATTCTAATTTTGTTTAATATTCACATAAAACATAATCAAAATATTTGTAATTTATATAATAATAATATAAACTCACTCTTTATCTTAATAACTAATTCATGTGTCAGATGACTCAGGCAGTATATTGGGCGTATCTCCAGAGCTTAATCCTCGAAGAGTGGTCTCTAAATGTGACAAATTTGTAAGAACTTCAGATCTCTTAGAAAGGTCTAAAGCCTGGAAGAGCTCAGTCAAGGTTTCAGTACCCATTTCAGGACATTCCTATAATGCATGACAATCAAACAAAAATAAATATATGAACATAAGAAAAAATATATAACGTGATTAATATCTATAAATGTAACGTAAACAAAGGTTAGTGATAATAGAACACCAATCAACCTTATTGAATGAAATATTATTTATAACTCGTATCTACCAACCTCTAGTGCTGTTTTCAACTGTGAAATAACTGCATCTCTTTTGACACTCTTCATGTTATTAATTATAATCGAATCTCCATCCAACTGCTTTTCTAGCCATGGTATAATTCCTTGGTTGTCGTCCCAAAGGTAAGCCTATAAGCAAAATACAGGACAAATTAAATACATTTTAATGTGAGTAAAATTTCACAGAATAGTAGTATAACAGTTAAAATAAATACAAGTCAAAATGACAAATGAAAAAATAAAACTTAACAAACCTCAGCAGTTCCTTTTTCCTCAATGAACCATCGCCTTATCATAGCTTCTGCTTGGCCGTCATCGAGAGAAGGAACCATTTCCGTCATTTTCCTCTTTATCCTATCTTGCAAAAGAAGACGCCTTAACCTCCAGTACAAGATACTTCTGCTCTTTCGCCAAGGTACTATTTCCTGTTTCATCAAAGCAATTCATTCATATTAATAGTTTAAAAAATGTCAATGAAAAAACATAGTGCATAAACTGATTGAAAGGATCTAAGTAGTTAAATTGAGCATGTAAAGATGTTTGGCTTAGTAGTAAATTAATTCCTAATTAAAAAGATAATTGAACTGCTAGGCATAAGTACAAGAGAGGGTACATAAGGTTGATCTTGCAATGTAGGAAGCTCAGAGGCAGTTAGTATTTTCATTATAGAGATTCATTATTAGCATCATTAAAGTGGATGAATGAAGAAAATAGGAAGAGATAACCTTTCTAGTTTTATTTTTTCAACATTAAAATAATTATTAAAAAATATGTAATTTTAATAAATTCGATGAACTGTCAAGAATTTTATAATCCTGAATGCTATAATTCTGTATCTTATAAAGGGAGAAATTATCAAAACCAAAATATCGGACTCGAAATACTGATAGTCGATATTTTCATATATCAATATTAGTAGATATTTTCATAAATCAATATTAGTCGATATTTTCATAAATCAATATTAGTCGATATTTTCATATATCGATTTAATAATAATTATTATGAAAGGTTTAGCGAACCTGAAGATTTGATGGGGAAACCATCAAATGCATATTTCACACCTCGCTCTACTAGTCGCTGTCCAAACCCAATCTCTTCTGATCAGCCTTAACACATTCTTCCAACCTTCCCTTTAATCTACGCTTCAGATGTGTACCAGTGGGCACAACGAATATTAGCTTTTTAAGAAATTTTTCGTGACTAAGTCCAATAATTTTACAAGCCCATTTAATTCGCTGTGATGTAATCATCTCAATTATTAACCAGATACAGTTATAGCGTTATTAATTATTAACCAGATAGATCGGATTCAGCGAAATGTTAATTTATTTGCATCCCACATAGATTTCTTTGACAATTCATGGCCTTCGTTTGAGAATGTTCTAAGAAATTGAGTTTACTGGGTGAGAAGGGTCTCTCGCACACTATTCAACTCATCGATAGTCGATATTATCGAAATATCAATATTTTTCCCTACTACGCGGTACAATCCAAGATGAGTATATTTTTTCTAACAATCAGATTCATACATAATGGCTATTTCCACTTAACATGAAAACGATAGTCAATAATATCGAAGTAGATAATATTGATGGTAAAATATCGAACATTGAAAGGAAAATATCAATATTTCGATATAGACTATCGATGGCCATCCCCACAGTGGACCTAATCCCATTTTACAACTTATACAACTTAATTGTACTAATCATTGCTGAAAATGTAATTTACGTATATTCTATAGTTCAGATTGTATTATTTTTTATCAACATAAAATAAATGAAACAAAACCACAGCTTGGACAAATTTTTAATTTCTATAAAAATATTAACCTTTACTTTATAATTGTAGTTTGCAGTTTTCTAGTAAATAAAAAGAAGTAAAGAGGGCCGTGATTATCATAGGTCAGAAACATAAAAATTGAGCTAATTTCAATACAAATCACATGAAAATTCACTGTTTCAATAATAGACAAAAGGTGCACATATGGCCTAAATGTTATGTGTAAATTGGTTCATGCCATTATTTATATTTACTAACAGGAAAGTTTGAAAATCTGACACCTCTGTAATACACATTCTGTATACCTTCTGATCCAGGCACATTTGCAATCCCATGTGTGACTTTTATCTTATAGTTTATAAAAATAAAATTGACACAAAAGTAAGCTCTTTAAGAAACCAAAAAAATAAAAGGATTATAATAACAAGCCTCTTCAAATGAAAGAAGAAATTCTCAGCCTATGCTAGGATATATAGAGATGGGGATTTAATACAAAATTGCCAAAACTGTATTGGAGTTATTTGACTATAATAATCCATGAGATTTACATAATCAAGCACTAAAATTGATCCATTTAATCATAAATTGAAAAAAAAATAAAATAAAAAATACTTTTCAATCTGGCATTCATAAATTTTAAATAAGAATTAAATAATTTATTATAATTGTTTTCTTACACTTATACACCCTTTCTCCAACATCCTCTCAGGTGTGTCATGGAGTTCGGCAAAATGTACAGCGACCTGGTGGTACATAGGCGTAAGGTATCTCTCCCTTGATTTAATCTTCTCTTCGATCTCAGCCTTTTCCTCATCTGTGATATCTTCATTCAAACTCGCTCTCAGTTCCAATATCTGTGGGTCTAGTCTAGACATTGCCTTCAGAAGATCTTTTAGTCTGAATTTAATTTCAACGAGACCTTCAGGTTCAAGTACTCCACCCCTGGAAATTCAAAAATTATTACAAATGCTGTTTGTGGCTAGAAGTAGTAAAAATATATTCTTAATTTGCTTAACACATTGACTATCCACAGAAAATATCAGATTTTTCAGTCTAAAGCCCACTTGTTCACTTCAGCACTCTCACCGAAAGAGCATTCATAACTCAGACTGATCATAGAATAAATAACTCACAGGGTTAGAATAAATAATTAAATTAACTAACTGCAATCAGATTTAATAACTTCACTATTTAAAACTGCAATAAGATTTAATAACTTCACCATTCTTTGTCAAGATTCTGAGGAATCCTATAACAATATATGGCAGACCATCCTTATCTTTGGCTTTATATAACATAACTCTACTAGTAGTAGATGAAAATTCTTGAGTAAAAAACTAATATATATTTATTTATTTATAACAATGGAGGGCTCCTCAACCTCTTACGGGTCATTTTAACCCTTACACAGTATTTACATTACATTAGATGAAATTTAACAATATATTTGAAAGTACAAAATATTTAAAACATTAAAATTTCCAAAGAAGTAAACAAATTTAAATTTTGTTATATAGGTGGGTTATTTGAAGAAATACAAACAATTTTTTCGCCAATTTGGTGTTTTTCAAAATTTCAGTGATATTATTCTCCAATTCAACTTCATTTTGTTGTGCTTCATACGCATAACATTCAGTCAAAATGTGCCTGACTGTTAAATTGACCCCACAGCAGAGACACCGAGTGGGTGTTCCATTTGTCATTAGGTACGCACGAGTTAGCCGTGAATGTCCGCTTCGGAGCTTTGTCAGGATTATTTCTTCTTTTCTGTTCAACTGTAGGTCTGCTAGACGTGGAACTACAGAGGGTTCAATCACTCTCAACTTATTGTCCTCTAAAACATGCAAGAGACCCTGCCATTTCTGCAGGGCCTTTCTCTTTACCAAAGCTACTACTTCCTTTGGAAAAATATCTCCTACTGGAATTTCTTCTTGGATTGCTTGTTTTGCCATGATATCAGCTAGCTCATTACCTCTAATACCTCAGTGACCCGGTAACCACAAAAATTGTATATTACATCCTACACTCCCCAATGTTTTTATATCCCTAACTATGTTTGTGACTAATGAGTCTGTTGAAAAGGAATTTTTCATAGCCTTAAGAGCAGATTCTGAATCTGTACAAATATAAATTTGCTGTTCATTACATTCAAGACTACAAATGGCACAATTTATTGCAAATAGTTCTGTGTGGTAGAAAGTGCAATATAGGGGTAATGAAAACATTTGTACATTGTCAGAAACAATGGCTGCAACAACTCCATCTTGAGTTTTTGATATCCATAAAGATATTCTCAATCGGAATGTTTCAGTTGGAAGTCAGTGAACTCTGCTAATCCTAAATTTGATGCAAGGGCCTTGTTACATTTGACTTTATGCATTTTAGGAATTGGTAGCAGCCTGAGCTCTGTTTGCAACTGCCGTACTTTTAGAATTAAAGGAAAAGGTGAGAGATCAAAGTCTGTGATGGGTATAGAGCACCTTCATTCATTCATTCATGCATGGCACAACATCCCGTCACCGAGACTGGGCCTCCTCCAAGAGCCTCCGCCAGTTGGCTCTATCTTCTGCTGCAGCTCTCCAATTCCGCACACCAAGCAGGGTTCTCGCATCATAGGCCACGTTGTCCAACCATCTCGTCCTCGGCCTTCCTACCCGTCTTACGAGGTGCAGCTCCTCCATCATTATTTTTTTTGGTATTTCAAGGGTGCTCATTCTGGCCACATGCCCTGCCCACCTTAGTCTGGCCAGTTTAATATACGTGACTACGTCGATGTCTGCATAGAGAGAACTGAGCTCCCTATTTTTTCTTTTCCTCCAGACATCACCCTCCTTTACTGGACCATAAATCCTTCTGAGGACTCCTCGCTCAAAGACACTCAGCTTCATCTCATCCCTTTTGGTCATCGTCCAAGCCTCTGAGCCATATGTCAAAACAGGCCGAACAAGGGTCTTGTATATGATCAGCTTGGTCTTCTTTGAGAGGTACCTACTTCTTAAGTGTCGGCCAAGTCCAAAGACACATCTATTGGCAGCCGTGATCCTTCTTTGTATTTCTTGAGCCATGTCATTCTTGCTATTGATTTCAGACCCAAGGTATATGAAACTTTTCACTCTCTCAAACTTAAAAGAACCTACCTCAAATGGAGAGTTCAGATCAACCTCACCGCCAACTCTCATATACTTAGTTTTCCTCTCGTTGACTTCTAGACCAAGTGGTCTTGCAGCTGCTTCAAGGCTTATAAACGCTTCTCTGAGAGCCCGTTCAGACCTACCTACTATGTCAATATCATCAGCAAAACCAAGAAGCTGTGTCAGGCGATTGAAGATTATATCTTTGGTCTGAATACCGGAGTCTCTTACAGCTTTCTCCTCTGCCAAATTGAACAATAGACAGGCGAGGGCATCCCCTTGCCTAACCCCACTGCTCACTTTAAACTCTTCGGAGTCGTCAGAACCGACGCGTATTCTGCATCTCGAGCTGTCCATGGTCATCTTGATTAGGCGTACGAGCTTCTGAGGGATGCTTAGCTCCTCCAAGGCACAGTATAGTTGCGTTCTATCAACGCTGTCGTATGCTGCTTTAAAGTCCAGGAATAAATGGTGGGTGACTACCTTACGCTCCATAGTCTTTTCTAGGATCATCCTCAGAGAGAACAGTTGATCAGTCGTTGAGCGTCCTCTTCGAAATCCAGCCTGATATTTCCCCAGTTCCTTTTCAGAATACGGGAGGATCCTCTCAAAAAGATAGATAGAAAAAGATAGAGCACCTTCTGCTAAACATAATTTAGTTAGTGGGTTTAGGATAACCGTAGTTGGTATAACGAGTGTTTTTTAAAAGGTGAGTGGGTCTAGAAATTATTTTAACATAGAACGCCAAGTCTAATATAATGTGATCATATTTAAAAAAAAAAACTATAACTGAAGTACATATCAGAAGTAAATTCGCAGAAGCCAATTATAAAATAATTTATGCACTCACTTATAATAGTAAATCAATTTTCTTTTCATATACAACTTTTCTTTAGGATATCTCCTAATTCATACTTACTCTGAAATACTACAACTTTTATCATAACTGCACAAATATGATGAGTGAAGAAACTACAAGATAACTCGTACTCGGCATCTTAGATAATAATATAAACTAAGATTTATTTAATAATTAAAATAATAATTAAAACTACTTAAAATAATATGATAGCTCTATTTAAATCAAAATAATTATTGAAACATTTAAAGATCATTTTAGTATAGAATAGAATTTACAAAATGAAAATATGTACATACATATATAAGCCTAAGTGTAAAACATAATAGCGATAGAAAATATTAAATAGTACCTCGAGTCAGGATCGGCATACATCTCCATTCGCTTAGGATTGATAGTCGGATCAACCACGGCCCAAGCTCCTCCCCTCAGCTCTCCATTTGGAGGAATATAAATCAAAATAGGTTGCTTGTATTCTCTCAAACCATCTACTATATAGGCACCAAATTTAACGACTTGTTCATACATGTCTAGAAGGCAAAACAATAACGATTTTACAGTCAGCTTCCAATTTCATCGAAATATATTAATGCAAAATAACAAAACCTCTAATTCACCTTTCATTCCTCCAGAAAATCCTCTCCAGTTAGCAAATATAAAAAGAGGAAGATCTTCTCGTGAAAAATCTTTAATTGCTTGGGACGTCTTATAGGCTGAATCGGGAAACCAAACTTGACCAGCTTGAGACAATGTCTATAATTTAAAAAAAAAAAAAATAAGATAAAAATTACTTTATTTAAAATTAATCAAAAAAATATGTTTTAAATGTTTTATTATAAGCGGCTGATGCTGATTATTATGATAAATATTTATGAATAGTATAATAAACATATATGAATTGTATTAAAACCATTTACGAATTGAATGATAAATATTCACCCATAAAATTTTCACCAAATTTCAAGGTAAAATAATTATGGAATTGTAAATTAAATATAAACATTATATAGGTTGCATAATTCTTCATATCATGAAAGAGTAACCCCATTTTCAAATTAAATTGTTTCTATTCATTAAAAATATAGCATTTATTTACTAATTTGAACAATTATCTTGATAAAATTGTTAAAATAGACAAAAGATATAGCTTTCTTTTTAGTGGAGAGAGATGGAATGAGAGAAATAGTGTTCATCCGTTCATCAATTAATATTTTAACCAAGAACACTGAATGAATATAGAAAATTTAAAGGGAAAATTATCACTCTTTTTTTTTCATATGATGAATCATGTAACCCCTCTAAACATCAAAATTTTATTTACTCGTGATTCCATAGGTATAATCTCTTAATTAAGGTATAATCTTAGATCATAATTTGTAATGACTCACTTATATGTCTAAACAACACTATTTTAATCTAAAATGATGTGTTTAGAGATTTTAAAAACAAGTGAAAAACATTTATGCTTTGAGTTTGTCATCAAATAAAAAAATTTGATTGTTTCCACAATATTTAAAAATTGGAATAAAAAAGAAAATTACTCAAGAAAAAATTATATTGGTAACTTATTTAGTTCTTATAAACTAATAAACAAAAAATCATGTGAATCAGAGCCATACCGGCTTAAAATTTATTTTTCATTGAATGATTTAACATTGAATATCCCTTGGTATAATCATTTTTTATATACCTTGGCTTCAGAATCTGGATTAGCAGGATCAGCAGGCAATTGCACCTCAACTGTGCGAGTTTCAACAGCTATAATGCCAACAGGAATACCCCCAAGTCGAGCTCGTCCAGCAACCACAGTCTGGGCCCATGCCTGCATGATCTCGTCCCAAGAACCACGATCAAAGAATCCACTTTCCCAAACATCTGGGTTATCTATCAAACATATTCATTTTTTTTTTTTTAAATATAAAACAGTAACATGTTTTGGAAACAATTTAGCTCAGTTAGAGAAGGAGAGGGTAAGGCTATACTACAGAAAAAAGTAAGAATGATTTGTTAACCATAAATATATAATTTAATGTACAGAGAAAGAAGTGACCATTATTGTCACTATTCTATGGAAAATGCTTTAAAATGATTGTATTCCAAAATAGACAATAATATCACTCTGCAGCAGTGGTAATCTCTTAATATGGTTAAAGGAATATGAAAGCTATACTGGACAAGAATAAATGGAAAATAGACATTGATTTATAACTCCAGACAAGTTCTTAATTTTTTTTAAATATTACAAGAATATAAAAATATAACTGATAATCTATATCTAATTTAAGAGCATCCTTAAAAATAAGAAGTGCAATTTTAACAAACATAACTTACTAGGATTAGGTCTTCCTCCTAGCATCCATCTAGGATCATATGGTGCTTTGGTAGGCATGTAAGCTATCTCTCTCTCCACAGGATCGGATGGTTTGATTATCGGAAGAGGAGAATACTTGTCCTGAAAGAAGAATATATATGGTTAGATATTAATTTAATTGAAAATTGCTGGTTATAATAGGCAAAAACAACCTCATAAGTTGTTTTAGCACCATGTCACATATTTACAGATCAGTAAAAAATAATGACAATTTTTTTTTTACAAATGAAACCAAATAAATAAAATGTAAATAAACATGAAGAGCAGCAGAGAAATAATTAATAATAATAACTATCACATATCCATTAAAAAATAGCAACTAAACAAAACAAAAAAAAAAGTGATAATAATGTCTTTATAACTTATTAAAAAACACAAAAATTACCTTGGGCATATAGGATAGCCACCTGAGTATGGCAGCGACTCCATCTAAATCTCTAGGTTCTGTCCTATGAGATACACCATTATTGTACATAATCTGGATACCACCTAGTTGATTGTTGGAAGCATACACCTCTCTTCCTAATAACTGAAAAAAAATTAAATTTTACTTTACTGATATCAATAAAATAATAAATGAGCATTTTTCATTACGCATAATATAAATATTAAGGATCCCAGGCATTAAATTTTAAATAATAATGATTAAGCCATTGCTTAAAGCATATGTGCAGTCTCATACCAAAGAAGGACATCAGTCATTTTCAGATAGTGGAGAATAAGTCAATTTTTGTTTTATAGGGTTCAATTCCAACTGTTTCTGATACGATTTTATTTAAGAATTTTCAAGTTAAATTATGAGGGGAAAAAATCATTAGAATTGGTTTAAAGTGAAGCTATGTTACGAAAATTGGCTTTTTCTCCACTCTTAAAAATGACAAATTTCCATCTTTAATATCAAAACCACTCATATATATTTCACCACTTACAATATAACCTTTCAAATGAGGAAGATAGTCCAGTAATAGAATGAAAAAGATCCTATTTTCGATCTATATTAAATCTCAAACATTTCACAATGGAACATAAATATATATCAATTCTATTTTATCATATCAGATAGTAATACTGCAGGAATTAAGGATCGAAATTGGGTTTTGTCACTCCTCTTTCTGCTTTGTTTGATAGCTTATTCAACAAAATACATCCCTTCTCAGAGCAAAAAAAGTGAACTTGAATACATTCAGTGCTCGAAACACACCCTGATGATGACCCACATGTTTGAGTTGAAACATCGACACCAATAAACCTTTATAATGACTGCGCCCTGAATATTTATAACCCATGATATGAAGAACAGTTGATAAAATTCCTTCAATATGTATAATATGGTAATAAATATCCCTTTTTTTTGTTCTGAGAAGGGATGGATTTTGTTGAATAAGATATTAAAAAAAAAAAACAGAATTTCATGGAGGAGTGACTTAATTCCTTCAACAGCTTTAATGAAATTCATTAGAAAAAATGAGAAGTTTTCAAACTCAGATGGTTTCAAAGTCAAAGAATAGAGATGGAACAATTTGTTATGAAGATTTTGGTATGGATATCTAGACCTGGTATAGCTCTGAAGGAACTATACTTGACCCTTTGTTTCAAAGCCCAAAAATGTCCTGTCATCAAGATAAATCGTAATTCTCATGCCCTAATCACGTATCTTTAGTTCATCATACACCACAAATAGTTTGAAAAATTAGCTTACTTTATTTAAGGCACTGTAACCAGTAAGGATGATGTGAGAATTTTCTATCTGGATGACTCTTTGACCAAGACGAACAAGGTAGGAACCAATACCGATGGCTCGGCAGGATACCATTGACATGGTGATTACTTCTTCGTAAGCAGCAGATGTCTCACCAGCAATCATACCGGCATATCTTAAATTTTCTACTCCAAGACCATCGTCTTTGCCTGAAAATTGTGGTCAAGAATTAGAAATTAACTAAAATAACTGCAAATACCTGAACTTACAATTTAATGCTGGACCAATAATATCAGTAATAACCTAAACAGAGGGGGCTAAATGCCATAATCATTAATAATCACAAGCAATAATAATGATTGTGGAATTTCAGTAATGTTATTTAGCTTCAATTTTTTTTTGGTCCAGATCAACTTTCATTTGTTTGATTGTTAGACTATTATTGATGTCAAGTCTTGAATAAGCAATATTTCCATACTATTGTAATGCACAATTAATTGTATTATGATTGGTACAAAACCTACCAATGATGTCAGTAACCTTGTAGCGGGCTTCACCTTCATCTTCGATTAAAATTGCTTTAACAGAATTCAGATGGGATATTTTTTTATAGTCCTCTGTAGATAGATAGAGATACTTGAAACCCTAAAAATTAAATAATTTTATAAATACACCTTGAAATATAGGCAAACAACTTATACAAGGACCTTGTGAGCAGAGTTAAGGTTGAATAAAGAATTCCCTCTCCAGATAACTTTAAATAACTCTTCTGTAAAATACTACCATCTTTAATTATTTAAAAACATTTTGATCGGTTCTAATCATCATATACTAATTCATAAGTTAATTAATATTTCAATCAATTAGAAAAAAATCTGGTGTGTCCACTCACAAGACTTTCTTACCTATTTCACAAATGTTTTTTTAACTTTACTATGTTCATGAAGAAACAAAAAAATATTGAATTAGATTTATTTTCCTGAAAACTGATCAAATAAAAGATTTGAGTACGATTTATCTGATAAACTAATGCAATGTAAACCGGCTTAAGGTAGATCAGTGTAAAAATTTCAATACTCCCTAACATTGATGATCAAAAACTTTTTGCCACAGCCTAATTTTGTCAAACAATCATTTCTGTTAAAAGTAGAGGAAATAGTGAAGCTTGTGTGATGCGGGCAACAGATTTTCTTACTTTCACTTAGTCATCTTTTTTCTCTCATTCACTCCTTTCTGACACCAGGATATGAACCCGTAATCTTACATTGGAAATTAAATAGCTGTAACTTCCTTAATAGTTGTCCAAAATGTATGATATTTATATAGTTTTGTAGGGAAGAACAGTTATGCTTTTCCCTCCCAAGCTAGAGCATATACACCAAAAAGTCCTTCATATATAAATATATATATATATATATATATATATATATATATATATATATATATATATATATATATATATATATATATACATATATATACTTTATATCATCAGTTTAAAAAGTTAAAACAGTATTAATTTAATCTAAATTAATAGACACAAAATTAATGTTCAAGAAACCATTATACATTGATGAATTCGTGATGTTTTCGTTTTTAAAGCAATCGTCAGTGTGATTATTTATAAATAAAAATATTACATGTAATTCATTCATGTAAAACAATAATTAATTTAATATAATGTAAATTATTTTAAATAATACTAAACTATAAGGATTTAAAAAAAGAGTTCAACAACAATCAAAATAAAATGTCAAATATTTACTAAAAGTTGTTCCACAGAAAATTCATATCGCTACTGTTAGCGCAAAAGGTTGTATATCAAAATTTAGTTTTTAAACAGAAGAGCATAAAAACCGATTATTTCTTTATGATTTTATTATTATTTTACGCGAAACAGCCCTGAAGGACTACGCGACTACGATACTGGTTTCTTTTTCAATTTCTTCCTTTGTGCCCATCTCTGCTTGAGAATATTGCTAATTTTTTTTCTTCCTCTCCTCTGTCCACTTTCTCCTGGACGGAAGTTCCTTGCTTAATGATTTATTAGTATAATTTTATATTTTTATTTCCTTTTGCTGTTTTCCATAGTAGCAGACAACTTAATGCAGTTGCAGATTACAAAATGTCACCTACCTTTAGTAAAAATAGAATAAACATGGAAAATTGTTACATACAACTTTTTGCAATAACAATAGCGATATGAATATTGTTTGCTGTTGTAGAATTATTCTTTTAAGTTTTGATCTTCCAAGTACATTACTCGGTATCTTAATTAGACAATACAAAAACTTAATAACTGAAATGTTACCTTATCAATAGCATCTAGATCTTCCCATGCCACCTTAAATAGACCTTTGACTTCTTCAGCAAGTCCAATACGTGCACCACTGTTAACAGATATATACACTCTAGGTATCTTAAGGCGACGTGCAAGCTCAGAGGCACGGAGAAAAACGTAATCTTCATTGGGTCCAAATGAACCTATCAGGTATGTTATATCATTGGCGATAACAATAATATCTCTTCCAGAAGGATATTCAGGAGTAAATAAAGTCAAACGCCAAGCAACCATTCCAACCTAAAAATTAAAATTAAACATTAGCAGCAAAAACATGATTCATTTTTAAAATGTAAAATAATTGGTTTGTTTAAAAAAAAAAAATAATATAGTCCCAATCAAACACTGTAGAATCACCTTCAACATTGACATTTTGAATTTTTAGATAAAAATTAATTGTTGATACCATAAGTACAGCCAATGAATTTCAGCTAAAAATATATATATATATATATATAAATGCAGAAGGTCCTAACCCTGAGTAAAAGACTACAATGAAACTAAAAACGAAAAATAATTTTGAAATAGTGGTTTATTTTATAAACACACTACAGTATTTCCAATAATAACAGAACCTATATACTATATATACAGAACCTATATATATATTAGTATTATAAAATATCATTAAAATTAAAATTGAAAGAACTTTAGTGTTTATGGATGAAACAAAACTTTACTGCACTTTTGTTTCATTCAAAATAACATAAAATTCAAGTTTATCAGATATTATAAATTAATATATATATATTAATGTATTATTTTCATTCCACAGCCATCTATATCTCAATAAAATTAGTAAAGTTTTGAGACTGAAAGAAGGTGAAGAACTAATCTTGAACTCCTGATATAGCAATTAGCTCATAAAATTATAAAAACTAAACAAACCTTACAACTGAGTTATTTATTCTCCGATAATTAAAAAAAAACTTTTTAATAAACCTCAATTTCCATACCCAGTGTACTCTTGCTAATCGTAATGAGCTTTACGATTAAAGCAAAACCTCATTTTAGATGAATCATAGAGATCAGGAGTAAAAGATTACAGCTCTCATTCGATTGAAAGATAATTATTAATGGAACAAACAGGGATAAGAAACATACAGTTAAGTATAATACTGTTTTAATGTGTGCACACATTTCAACCCTAGTTGTATGTGTCCTTTTTCAGGACCAATATGAAAAAAAAAAAATACATCATAACAAAAAAATTGGTAATAAACCACTGGCATATTGATAAGTGAGTAAAATTTTATAATTTTGATTTATAAGTATCAAACTTATTTTATTTTTCTTTGTATCTTAAGAGTTAAGTGATATGCCTAGATATGACTATGGGGGCAGGGTAACCGAGTGGGCTAACATGTGTGTACAGCACCGCACATTGCCCAACAACCAGAAAACCGATGGAAAAATAATGACAAGTTCGTGTCCTGGTGCCGGGAAGATTTTAACTCTAGCATTGATCCGACACCCTCACCATCTGGCCAAGGAAAACCTCATATAGCCTAAAAGGAGAGGAAGAGTACAAAAAAAAAAAAAAAATTAAGGCTACATATGACAAAAGATATTCCCTATTTTAATAGCTGTACCATTTGGTTTATATGGTACAAAGCAGGCAGGGTCTAACAGATGGTATTACTGAAGGGTAAGGTGCCCGACTCTCACGCTGGAGACCTGCATTTGAATCCTAATTCAAGAAATAATTTAGGGGGTGGGGTGGCCAAACAGACTAACGTGTGTGCACAGCACAGCCGTAGCCTGGCAACGTGATACATAAGATAACTGGATAAAAATAGTCACAAATTCGCATCCCGGTTACAGAGGAGTCTTTTAAAATCACCGTTCTCACCCCCTGGCTCGGGAAAACCCCGTATAGCCTTAAAGTGGAGGAAGGCGAGGATCCTTCAGGAAAACAAAATGTGACAGGGTGACTGAGTTGATAAACGCGTGTGCACAGCACCGCGCGTGTCTGGTAACCTGATAACAAAGTTAAATAGAAAAAATATTACGAGTTCAAATCCCGGTACTCGGTGAGAATTTTAACTAATTCCCCTGGCCCCTTCCCTGGACCGGCAAAAAACCCTGTGTAGCCTAAAAGGCAAGGAAGGAGAAAACAGAAAAAATGAAAATGTGGTTTAAAACAATGAAAATCCACAAAATTGCACTTAAATCTCTATTCAAAAAAGCAACAAAGACATAATAGGGATAAATAAAAAAAAATAATGAGTTTATAACAAAGAAATACATGAAAAAGAAGTATTTTGTAAAATGAAAAATATGATTTCATGAAATTAGAAAAGTGAAGAATGAAAAAAAAGAATTTGATTATTCCATATTTCATGTCACATGAAAAATATGATTCCAAAAAGCTAGGAATAATTCAATTATTTTTAGAGTATAATTTCCTTTAAAAAAATCACATTTAGTTAAACCAGAAGAGTTGCAACATTTTCTTTTCTGTTTAATAATCACTAATCTAGATGAGAACATTTTTTTTTTAATCTAAAAACCACCTCTCACAGATTCATGGCTACCCACAATTAATAAATAATTATATAGGAACAACTTCTAAAATAATTCATATAAATATAATAAATATAAAAAAAAATAAATGAAATAAAATAAAATGACCCACATTGTTCTCACCGGGTAGTCTTTTCATTTCGACTAAACCATCTCCTTCCACAACAAGTTCCACACAATCAGTAAACTGTGATGGCATTTGTATTCCCTCTAAACAAACATAAATCAAAAATAAAATTATAATCCTAAAATTTATATCTTGTTGGGAGCTTTCAGGAATTATAATATATAACAGAGAACTTTTCTTTTCTTAATTTTGATTTATTAATTAAATAACTTGAATAAGGAAATGAAAAGATTTACTGACTATGATTTATTATGAAATTTTAGAACTTTTAGGTGGGAAGGATAATATATATAAATAAAAATTGTTACCATCAGGCCTTTCTTGAATATATTCCTTCCACATTTTTTCGCAAACCTGCCTAAATACATCAGGAAAATCGTAAACATAAGTTGTTCCACTGCTTTGAGCTTGGAATCGCTTTTGTTGAAGGTAATCCTTTGTAAGATATGGGGTGGAAACAGGAAGCCCCTGCATTGGTCCTTGTTTAGGACCAAAAGCTTCAAGACGGATCTGAAAGAATGAATTTTAATTTAAATATATGAAGATTTGACAAAAAGTAATCTGAACATAAATAATATTGTTAATGAAAATATGAAAAAAAAACTTGTTTAACATTTACTTAATAATTAAATGATCCATTATTTTTATTATTTTTTTGGAAAATTTTGAATCTCAGAGTTGCACTACTTGCAAGGAATAAGAGTAGTAAAGTGGCTAAGAGATTGAAAGAGTCTGAGTTCCAAAAAAAAAGCAAAGCTTGATAAAAATAAATTAAGAGCTTCATTGATAATAAAGAATTCTGTATACAAATTAAGAAGTGGAGAGACTACAACTCTTGTTGATCATTTCAATTGACTCCACAATCTCCTTGCTTCATCTTAAATGAAAATTAAACAATTACAAAATGTTAATGCGATGGTGGTCAGTTTTGTCAGTTGTGTGGCACCTAAACAAATAGCCTAATAACAATGTTTTTATTATTTTCTAGTCACATCCTTCAGGTTTGGTACCATTTTCTCATATCTTTATTTTAGGCCAAAGGTCACCAAAAAAACACAGTTTTTTCATCTCCTGTATGCTTTATTCAACGTTTCGGCTTCAGGAGCCATTTTCAAGAACCTGCAAAACATGCACCGCGCCATAAAATGATTAAAATTTATCATTGCGATATGATTCGTCCTTCATTCATTCTTTTATTTCAATGAATGTTGTTTTCCATTTCTCTATTTGCAGACGTTATCAAGAAATATTTGTTCCTCAATAGGGCATTCATACAGTCTTCAGGTGCATGTTTTGCAGGTTCTTGAAAATGGCTCCTGAAGCCGAAACGTTGAATAAAGCATACAGGAGATGAAAAAACTGTGTTTTTTTGGTGACCTTTGGCCTAAAATAAATATATGAGAAAATATGTTTTTATTATGACTATTGCTAAACCTTGACTTCCGTAAGCCCTCCCCCATAAAAAATTTACAAAACAGCCTCCTCCCCACCTAATTTTAAAAAATTAAATTTGGATTCCTCCTCCATAATACAAAATCTATCTCAAAAAATATTCACAAATTTTAAATATACACCCGTCAACGAAGGGTACATCAGCTAGTTACACATATACATGAATATACGGATAACCCAAAAATGGCAATATTCATAATACTTGGTTTTTTCTTCCCTGACCACTCAGGTGTGAGGAAGATATTGAAATTGAGTCAAATTTATTTGTGAGTTAAATATTTACTTAAATAATGCACTCATTTAATGTTTACTTTTTAAAATTAATATGTTACCTTTATTAAACATTAACAGACTTATACACCCAGCTACTGTTATATGTTTGTTTTAATATTTGCTTTATTCATTTACAACCGAATTGTGTAACGAAATAATGTAATTTTTAATAAGAAATATTTTAAAAGCTCTAATTCTGAAGTCTCAAAAAAATTTAGATTAATAAGATGATATTGACAAATAATTAATTCTTGTACTTACAACACCAGTTTTCTGATCCAGTACTTCCATGTACAGGCACATGTCAAGAGAATATCCAGAATCATTGGCCAGGCACAATCGAATATTACTTGTTTTAGCATTAGGAGTTGGTCTTATGGTCATTCTCAATTCAGCCTGAAGGACTCTCAATTTCCAGAGTCTAGGACCGTACCTCAAGACCATGTTTGTTACACTTTCTTCAATCTACAAAAATTAATTATAATACTATTATAAATATCATTAGCGATTACTATCAAGTTATTTATTTAAGATTACTGAAAGAGAAAGCAATTTGTGAATAAAAAAATTCTTTCAGATCATGTTATAATTTTTTAATAAAGCTGAGGAAATAAAAAGAATTGGACCTTAACTATACTTTTTTATTTCCTCACTACCGAAAGTAGAGAAGCTGTGTATTGAATATGGAAGTTAAAAAAATTATTGTCCTCAGAGTTGAAAATGTTAATCTTTCAAGATCAATGAACAAACAAATTCAGTTGTCTTTTTTTTTTATTTATTTATTTATTCAACCCTACCATGCCTTTCAGCTACTCAGTTTTGGAGGGGTAGCATATCACAAACATATCTATGCCATTCTTGATATTTTAAAATATGTAACATATTATGCGAAACTTATAAGAAATTACCTTTGAGGAATCAAAAAAAAAAAAAAATAAATAAACCAGAAGACTTGTATCTCAAAACCATACATCCAAGCCATAAGTTAGAGATTGGTGAAAAAATGATACAGTATGTATGAAATTTATCAAATCAATCTACTACTTTAAAAAAATCCTTTTGCTTCTGCTAAATCAATTCAATACAATTAAATGAAAATGAAATACCTTGGCAGGATCCATGATGACAGTAGGTACAAAGTTTAAGAATATATGATTACAATCAGTCCGCCTGGCAAGAGGATGGGAGAATGCAACTTCCAATTCATCCATTGCTTCAAGTAAGACTCTTTCACCCTCATTCTGGAGGTATTCAAACGAAGCTTCTTTTGTAATAAGATCTGAATGCCTGATAATGGATCTGATAAAAAATCTAAAATCAGTCACAGATTGGCCCTTGGCAACCTACAAAAGCATGACAAGAAAAGATTAAATAAACATTAATTTTTTTTAAAAATACAAAGGTTTTGACAAAAATTAAATTATCACACCTTAGCTTTTCCTAAATAGAGGTACATTTTTCTATTGGACGTTGGAAGAGCTTCAAGATCATAATTTTTCATTCTATTAAGTTCAAGTTGGAAAGCCATTCCAGGCTCAAGATGACGATAAATTCTATCTTCCATAAAGTTTTCAGAGTTCCTGAATGTAAATAGTTTAGGGAACTGACGCCTGGAAAGAAATCATAAAAAGAAATAGATTAGTGAAAAAATAATAATCCTGAAACTTACATCAATTAGCTTGAAAAAGATGTTTTGATGGCTTAAAGGGCAACCACTCTATTTTCACTTTTTTATAAATTTCAGTTTTTCGTCAACAAGTATTGCTTAAGAAGGAACAAAGTGCAGCTATCGTTGCACAAATATTATGTCCTAATTTGAGATAAAAGATTTTTATTTTCCAAATCTGTGAATTAGGGCAAAAGACACAAAACTAATGGTTATCTTAGAATAACTACAAAAAAAAAAAAAAAAAAGACAAAGCCTAAATATTAATAATCAACTTTGTGATTGAAATAATTAGATTTAACATCTTTCTCTTCTAAATTGACTTGTAGCTTTCAAACTTCTTAAGCTCATATTGAAAACAAGGGTTTCAGACACTAATGGATACAGGATTTAATTTTGGGGAGGCATCAGCCTGAAAGATTTTTTTGGTAGGTAAATATTACGATAATTACTTCGGAAGCAAGAAAGAAACTAAGTACCTATATAAACTGGTGTTTAAGTAATTCTTTAAGTCCTATTAAATAAAATTAGAGCACCAATAATACTTATAGAAATAAGTTTTTTCATAAAACATTGTTATATTTTACCATTTTGGGGGACGGACTTCAGCCCGAAAGCTTTATTGAGATTAATAGAGAAAATATGGGAAAAAAATAACATTTGAGTCATGTTTATAAATTTAGTTATGTTTATAAAGTTGTTGAATTCTCAAATTGAGTTATGTTTATAATATTGCATGAAAATATGAGAAGGAGCCAAACATTATTTAGAAGACATTCAACAATCATACATTAAAGATTTTAAAAATTAAGCTCACTTATTAAGAGCAAGGAATGTAATTCTTCTTATTGATCTGGCAAATAATTCTTCCCTATGAGCAGCACAGAAGTCTCCCAGCAACCTGCTTAGTTTATCGTCTTCCATGTCACTGTTATCCTTAATGGCGATACAAAGGATATGAATGGGTTCAACCTGGGAAAAAATTCAATCTTTAAAATTTATAAATAAATTAAGGAAGCTAAACAATTAAGTATTTTGGAAGTCATGGGATAAATTAACTAGAACACAAAAAGCAATAACACAATGATTTCTTGATATAAGCAACAAGAAGAACAATCAATATATGAAATTGAAGAGAAGAATAGTTGGGGTGTTCAGTCCCAACTATTCTTCTCTTCATTATCCACGACAGTCAACCAATTAACAATTATGAATATATGAAATTATTTAAACAAAAATATCATTACCTTGATTTCTTCCTGATCTGCCGTAGTTCTGGTCACAGGTTGATCACCTGCACTGATTGAAAGAGAAGTACTGTCGCCAAGAGAAGTCGAATCTGTTCCTTCCACAGACTCAAGTATCCTGGCAGAAACAGTTGCTGGAGTGGTAAATTCATCCAGAGTATCGAGTATTTCATCAAAGTAAATTTGAAATTTAGCAAATGAATCAAATGCTGCCATACATCCTGTCCTATGTGGGCTATGGACGATGGTTGGCGATCCAGGAGATGATGTCAGAACTGTGCACATTTTCTGTCTATAAAAGCAAAAACAGAATACTCAGCTTTCCAAAATAAGTATATGTTAAAATATAGGAATAATATAATATTTCAAACAAGGTCAGAATGAATAGAACACCATCTAAAACATATTATGTCAAACGTTTTTTATAAGTCGGGATTCCTATGATAGCAATGAACAGGAAATTTTTAGAATAAAAAAACAGACACATAAACAACCAAACAGGAACCTGATGCAAAACAGAAAAATTCTCGAAGATTTATCTAAATTTCATCACATATTTAAGATACATCCCCTGTGATTCTGGGGTAGAGCAGACCCACACTATTTACTGTTAATCGTAAATACTGAGGCGACTATAGGGACAACTGTCCATTGACCGCATATCTTCATCCTACACATTCCTTCCATTGGTCCTTCCTATCCTTTTCCTGCACTCCTTATTTTCCTAATCCTCCATCATCTTATGGGTTAGAACAAACGTTCAAAGACTAAGGGAATGAACCCTGACAAAAAAATCTCGGTCCTACAGATTGGGGATTGGCCACTGGGCTGTCAACACGGTCTCATAAAAAGCCTCTTGTTACGAACACACAAAGAAGAAACAGCCGGACTGATTTAAGGTTAAGAAATAAGCTTGGAAATGGACTTATAAATATCGGAACATGGAACGTTAGAAGCATGCTTAAGCCAGGAGTGACTAGGATGTTAGAAGAGGAGCTGTTGAAATATAAAATGGATATCGTAGCCCTACAGGAAATAAGGTGGGAAAATGTGAATATAGTGACTCTGAATAACTATACTCTCTGCAATAGTGGAAGTAAATATAATCTGTTGGAGACTGGGTTCATGGTAAAAAAACATTCTCAAATAAGCAGTGACAAGCTGTCAACAAGCAGGTTGACAGAACTCCTAAAAACCTTCGTGTTTATATCTCAATTATTTTATTTCATTCCTTCTCAAGTAAGAATCACATTTATAGGGCCAATTTCATTCCCACTCTTAGTGTTAAATTCATATTTCAGTTCAGTAGTTTAATAAGAATAACGAAGAGCAAAAAGTTCTAGATATAAGAAAAATTATATGTATGTTGCCAACTGCAGATTGAAGAGTCAAATAATACCTTGGCTCAAAAATTCAACATAAATCTTACAATTTGAAAAAACTGTGAATCTAATCGAGGACATGCTGAATCATTTATATAAAAAAAACAATGACTACCCATTTACTCACGACAAAATCGGTTCTTTTCAATATTCCGCTATTAGACAAGGAGCTACTGACAATTTTATTTAATGGAGGGGCGTATAGCTAGCAACCATTTTAAATTCTAGATAAACCTCATCTGAACACACAACTTCGGTCAGTCAGTTGAAAGCCGTTGCGACGAAAATTTAAATTAACGAGGCGAAATTTGAAGGTTCATTTAACGGAGTAACTGATGGCTGAAATTTTGATATGACATAAAGAATATGTTCCTAAAAGATAATTCATCTTGACTGACGATGTCAAAGTTATCAAATTAGGGCAGTCAGATGGTAATTGGTTAAAGAAAAAATTCAAATAGTTGGTTTCCCTTCGATTTTATATGTTTTTTTTTGGGTTACTAAATCTGAATTTGACATTCCTGAATGAAATGTTCCATTGCGTATCGGAATACAGACAAAAAACATCAAAATTTCCTAATTTTTTTGGACATGACTCTGAAACTGTGGATTTTATAGAAATTATTATTATATACAAGTTAAAAGAAGATAAAATTTACTATAATTATATGCATAACTTTTTTGATGTAGGGCTAATGGGTGAGAAGTAAGAGAATATTGACTGTTTACATTTTTTCACAAGAAAAATCTATTTTTGTCGGTTTCCTCCCAAAATTCATAATCTATGCATGTATCGAAGAAATTCAATAAAATTAATTTGAAAGAACATTAATTTTGTATGTACCACTTACGGTGAGGTTAATATGTAAGATTAAACGGCTGTTAAAGCTCAGAGAATCGAAGCCGTATTTTCCTTTTAGTATCTGCCGCTCTCAAAATAAGTGCTTTTTATCTTTCCAATGCTTTATTTTCAGCTAATTTAACTATTTTATAACAGAACTACAATGTATAAACAAATTACATAGCTTTTATATATTCTGTTGGTATGAACATGTTTGCCTTGGGATCAGTCAGTCAGTCCGACAAGCTTATTACAGTTCATTAAGACTGCAGGAATTATGCTCTAAACAGAAGTGACTTTAAATAAGGTGTACAATAGGCCTACATGGCAGCCGTGCACTCATGCCGCTTAAAAAAAAAAAAAGGACCAAAATGTGTTTTAAAGTCTGAGCAGTCCAACGACATTTTGCTTACTCGCTATATTACGACTCTACCAAAGCATGAATTATGTGAAGCTGCCAACGAGTAGATGTATACTTGCAGATAGTAAATAGTATTGTTATATTTTTCTTTTTTAAAAAGCACTGTTTTAACTCCATTTTGTTCATTACCCTTGTTTAATTTCAATATAACGGCCAAGGACGTTATGGACAGTGATAAGTGGATCGATATAGATTATATAACGATATAAATATAAAGATGGTCGTTTAACATCACAATTCGTTTCAAAAAATCCATCCTCAGCCTGCACATAAAAGATACTATTTTTCATATTAAATCAATTAAACATAAAATATCTCTGATTGTATTTTAAAATTTTCAGCCCTGAAGATGACCCACATGTTTGGGTTTAAATGTTGGCAGAAATAAAAAATTAAAAATTTTTTTAAAACACTGCGTCCTGAATATTTATCACCCATAAAAAAAAAAAAAACATTTTTTAACAAAATTAATCCGAGTTAGTCAGAAATTATCGGACAGTATAGTCATTTGAGAACAAATAGATGGTATGGTTGGGTCAGATCCAACCCGATCAGTATTTTGATATTTTTATGTAGAAATAAGTCAACAACGAGCATTTCTATTAAAACATTCACCAACCCATAATTGACCAGCAGAATTTAAGTTGAAGGGGATTTCAAAATGTAGCTGTTATAAGAATATCAACTACAACCAGTGTAGTATTAACCAGTCAGCTTGGTCTTTTGTAAAAGTATAAGAGAATGAGGAAGGAGAGGAATACTGAACCAGTTTCGTGACAATATTTGTAACTTTTAGAGAAGAAAAATATTTAAACTTATAAATAGAATAAAGTTGAGTTGATAATCCTTAAACTTACCTATTTGGATGGGCTGAAGGAAGCAAAAATTGGAAATGAACTAATGGTACTTCTCCACTCAACTCTAAGTGCTGAAGACAAGTCATTTCATAGGATATGTACACCCTACGTACGTACACCTGTAATGAACGGACAGCCATGAATGATTATTAGCATCATTAAAAACTGTTGCATTGTAAAATTTTAAAAATAACATAACTTTAAGCAATTAAAAAATTAAATTTCCATAAACAAATATGGTACTCCTTAAATAGTCAGTCGGGATCGACTGCTATCTGCCAATGTTTATAATCTTAACACTGATAATTCTGATAAAGCACCGATAATTCCTATCTTTTTATTCATATTTATTGTATTATATTCATATTATTGAAATTGTAAACAAAAACAAAAGTAATAATAAAAAATACATTTATTTTACAACATATATATATTAAATCTGTTCATATAACATGTTATGGGCACAAATATCTCTTAAAAATTTGTTCCACGTTACCATAGTTCGCTAGGATAGTTTCAGTTGCTCTTTGCCACGCTGTATTGTTGTTAAATTATGGGATCACCCAGTAATAAATTTTAAAGCTGTTAAAAAAGAACTGCTCGACCACTCTAACCACGTTCCTTTACTTATAAAAACGATTTTGTTACAAGTTGTACGAAAGCATCTCCATTTCATCTTCCAGTCGAACATCACTTCATGACCTTCATCACAATATTTCACCTTTGCAATTATCCAGCAATTCTTACAATGTAATATAATTTGATGAAAATCACACTAATGGAACAAGAAAAAACGATGGAATAACTCACAGCTCACACGAGGAACAAAAAATAAACAATGGAATAACTGATCTTACAAGAGATAAGAAGAAAAGTTATGTGATGTAACATTAGATAACAAGGGAAGTTTCGTCCCAGTCGGCTATTTAAGGAGTACCACAAATATCAACTCAAAACATTAACTATTGTTAAAATTGTAATATTACCAAGTTACAAAATAAAAATAATATACACATCATAATTACCTCTAAAGCCGCATTGCAAACAGCACGGTTGGTATGGTAGAAGAAATCGTGTAAAATATCAAATATAGATGTTTCAGACTGAATAAGTTTCTGTAAATTTTCGGGATGGAAATCATGACCATACATATCAACTGCTGACAAGAAAATGCTTTCCATTTGGTTGTGCCTCAGCTCATAAGCTGGCTGATGGGCAGCGATCAAGACCTGAAGTAGATAATTTTTGGTTGAGGTTAAGTTGATAATATGTTCATAAATTAAGTTAGATTAATCACAGTAACTGTTTACCTGGCGAGCCCGTAAAGCAACTCTAGAATGTTCACTCCTGTTCAGTGAAGTAAGTTCATTCAAGGTTGAAGCTAATTCATCAGTAAGACCAGGCTCATTTGACCACAAATGATCAATTAACATTGTGACGAGCATGTTTCTTTTAGCTACCTGAATAACAGAAAATATTTTTTATTTAAAAACAAATAAATGTCATAATGCACCAATATTCAAATAAATTGCATCTTTTTTTTTAACTCAAAAACTAATAGTAAAAAAATAGTTATCATAATCAATCTTACAATTAATATCACAATATATCATTCTTTTCAACATTCAACTTATTTCATTCATGTTTTTTGATGAATACAATTAATACAGAACTGCATTATTCTTTGACTTTTCCTGCCTTGAATAAAATTTCTTTCATCGGTCCCAAATAAGAATGTGAAAAATTTCTTGCCGAGAGTAGGTAAAATCATTTAAATGGCATATAACTATTTTAATTTATTGTTTTTATTGATGTAATTCGTTAATCAAAAGTTTTAATTACATTTGTTTCATTTTAGAACAATGTTTTGAGCTATAAATTCATACTTTTACATTTTATTTGTGTCCCTTATTCTAGAATTTTTAAGTGCACATCACACCAATGTTCAGAAATTTAGCAAGTTATTAATATAATTCAAGGTTTTATTGTCAAATGAAAATAATATCACTACAAAATTTTGTTTGTACTTTTTCAAATTAAATAATAATTAAATTCTTTCACAACATATATCTGTGTTTGTAATGAAAGATTTATTTTCTATCGAAATGTATAGAAGTTTTTATATTCCACACATCTTTAATGTAAAGAATATCTTTTTTTTTTAACACACTTTAATATACGATTGGGACTAGTTAGGTCCTAACCAAACCCTCTTTGAATCTTCTCTCTACTGAAAGACTTACTTGACTGTGTGAAAATATTGTTCCTGTAACAGAAGCCATGTCATCCTTATGTTTTTCTCTGATAGCAGTTACACATTTATCATAATGACCTGCAAGAAATTACAAATTCACCATATAATAAAACATGACAAAAATACATCCACATTTTTCAAACATTAAATCAATTTCTTTCAAAGTAAATAAAATACATTATACATTTTTATTGATCAATAATAGTGAAATGAGATTTTCTAAAATCATCAAATTATGATTGTTTCAATTAATCATGTGTCTACTTCATTACTTATGTATATTAGTCATAAAATACTAACCAAGTTGAAATTGGCTCTCAACATCGTAGTATTGTCTCAGAAGTTCATGAACGGCAGACTTCATTCGCCCCCTGATTCCATTCCTGTACCTCTGGACAAGTTGTACAACTCCTTGCGTTGTTAGGAAGAAATTGTCTCTGTCTGCTCTCTTTTGCAGTGTTGCTGCATGGCTACAAAAAAAAAATATTCCTTACAGATATGATACTCGAAGAAATGCAAAGATGTAAGTTTTGGTTACATAAATAAATTACCATACCTGTCTATTACAGATGCAATTTGTTGACTAGGAAACTGAGCCAAAACTGAGGTAATATTCCTTTCATAAAGTGTCATCAATTTTCTTATCTTCTTTTCAACGCTGATTGGAATCCTACCAGAAATGGACGCTATTACCTCTTGAAGTTCGAGAAGAGGAAGAGAAGGATCTCTCAAAGAACTCATAAATTTCTCAATGACTTCCCGGAGACGAATTAGGTGGTATGGTTCAGGTAAACAATAACCTATTAATTAATAACACAAAATAAATAAAACAAATTGTTTTATACATTTAATTTTTCAAATCTAAAAAATAATTACATGACTTAAGAATTTAAATAACTTTTTTTTTACTTTCACTTGCCTATATATGTAACATATAGTAAGGGAAAGTATTGCGATCATAAAAATTTTTTAATCTGAGTTTTCAACGGAAATACAAGTTTTGAGATCCCCTGAGTCTAAATAACCAAGTCCCGCAAAAGGGTCTGTGTGTGAGTGTATGAATATGATCAGTCTAGCTCAAAAACGAAAAGTCATACGAAACTGATATTACATATTTCATATAGGTGTATGCCTTGGATGTGACAGCAACTTTTTCTTTAAAATCGACTAACCGGAAGTGGCAGTTTACATCAACAGTTATACACATTTTTACAATTTTCTCAAAAACGGCTCCAACGATTTTTATTAACTCAGTGTATCATTATACAATTAAGTGGTCTTTAATACCATTGCAGTTTTATCCCCATTGATGTTACTTTACAGAGGTTAAATGCTTAAATGTTCAACACGTCTTCCTCTTAAGTACCTTTAATTTGGAGTATTTTAAATAATTAACTATCTCTCATTATTAAGAATTAAGGAAAAATACTAAATATAACTTTTGAAAGAATTCGATAATTGAAAAATGGAGAAAAAAGGAAAAATGAATTTCCAGAAATACCAGCCACAAGATATAGGTATAGTATATTGTTGGAAAGCTGAGCATTTCAGAAACAAACAATAACTAATATAGAAAGTCGCAGAAAGTAATTGAGAGTGACGAAAAATTGTAAATAATAATTTGTGAAAACTAATATTATTTAACGGAAATCACATTTATTCAAGGAAATTAAATGAAATTTACTAACTAAATGTAAATTTTGAAAACTATTTTTAATTTTGAAAAAAGTATTTAAAATCCATCTAATCAAGACAATGGCATTGTTTAAAAAACTATTTCATAGTACTTATGTGAAAGATCAAAATACAGCAGGAGCCATATAAATTCAGTTTTTTAAATCATCAATATCCAATACCTCAATGATCCAGATTTAATATCAGACGTTCAAGGCATAATTGTTTAACCTAAATTTGCACTCTCTGAGAGTGTTGTTAAAGCGATCCTGAACAACTGTGCTTTCAAAAACCAGTGCAAGAAAGATATGTTTGAACTATAGAGAGCAAAACACAATACAAAGGATGGATGGGTCAGGTCGTCTAAAAGGTAATTCACCAGCTGGTGGTGGGGCTACCCCCCTATCCAACTTGTCAGGTCATCTAAAGGGGCCTTAACGAACTAAACAATACCATTACATATATAATGAAATAATGTCAATCATTAATTGATTGAAGGATAATTGATGGACAACTGCAATTGGGATTTAAAGTAAATAAATATAAATACAAACCTGCCAAAATATTATCCAACATTTGGCGGTAGTGGGCATGCTTGTGGTTCAATTTATCGCCAACGGTAGGAGTGGACACATCTAGTTCGGGGAACTGTCCTTTGTAATCCTGGGCCTTAGTAATAAGTGAGGGATCGTCCAACTCTAAGTGACCCAGTAAAGTTCCTGCATCTAAGACCGCACCTGGCCTTTTCGTGTATGTTATTATTCCTGACTCAGCAGCGGTCAGTGTCATAACCATTTTCATTACCTAAAAGCATAAAAACATAAGATATGCACATTTCCCTTCCATACTATTTAAGATAGGGAAAGTAAGGTAAGGATGAAAAATGGTCAGATCAAAATGTGCAATAAAAAAATTATGTTTATTTAATTTGCTGACGTTTTATATATCTGAGGGCAATGGTTTGAAGGCCGAACAGGAACAGCCCAGTCCTTTTCATTGTTCTGATGATGACCCACACATGTTTGGGTTGAAACATTGGCAGACTCAATAAACATAATTTTCTTACTCCAACCCCTGACCATTTTTTATTCGTACGATTTCAAAGGTCAATTATATACCCACCTAGAAATAATAGTGATTTTTGTTAATGCATTAAAACTTTTAACAAGTGGGATCAGACGATCATCATACTTTTTTAATATTATTACAACAGAAAATTTCTGCTCTAAGTATCGTCTGACCGACTAAGAGCATAAAATAGCTATCTTGCATATATTTTTGAGAAATAGTAATTCAAAATTAACGCATAGGAATTTAAACAAAAACTATAGACTTTATCATATTAAACAGATTGTTAATATGATAATTATTAAACCAATTAAATAACATCAAAATGGAAAATATTTATAAAAATATTAAATTACTTCCACGGATTTGGGTAAACAAAATATACAATGAAAACCTTATGATTTAAATCTTATCTAAAAAAAAAAAAATTAATACCCAGAATTAATACCTCTAAAACATTATTATGAAAACTACAATTGATTGTCCTTTGAAATTTTATGGCAGGATTCATTTACCTCAATTTCGGCATAAGCTTGACCCTTTCCAACATGACCACCATCTTCAACTATCAGACTGAGTAATTTTCCAGCTGACGGAGATCGGAGAAGAGAAGGATCATTTTCTTTTTCAAAAATACAAGTCTGATTACCAATTACAATCCGATATCTATCGACTTCTTCTCTCATATAAGTAGTGAAACTTGATCCATCCACAGATAACAAAATTCCTATTAACATAAAAATTGATAACTTATCTGTTTAGGTCTATTTTAACTGGCAAAAATTTTGAGAAATTAAAAAAAAAAATTAAAGACTTTAAAAGTACAATGAAATAAAATGAAAATATATATTATTATTATTCTGAGCTGAGATTGTTGTCTCTCTAGAACAAATTATAAGTACAGAATGCATATCTGTGTTGTCATAAATACATTAACATAAGTAAACAGAAATAGTCTCTGGAGATACTTCAATAGTTCTCTTAGGTACATTTCGTTGTCAGTCAGATTGGGAAAGGAGTAAATGTTTAAAGAGGAGAGGTTTGAAAGAGGAAACTGATTGTGCGTGTCGAATATCAGGAGGGATAGAATTCCAGAGGGTATTATTCAAATTTGATTAATTTTAATTACAGTTCTCATTAAACTAATAAACTAAACATTTCAATACCTCCATCAGAAAGTTTGTGAAGTTCGATTTCTTTGAAAGATCCATTCATGACTAGAAAATATGAGTTCTGACCAGATTTAGTTGCTTGTACTTTATATTTGAATCCCTCATGAATCAGTTCTACGTTGACACTATGCTCAAGAGTATTGCTACCGAGCACCTGACCTCTAAAACAATACAATTATTATAGCATAACAGATGTTGACTAGTTTTACAGACCGGAAAAGTATACATTTTTAACTTCTACAGTAAGTCTGACAACTCAATGTTCAGGAATAATTGAAATATTGTTACTAAAAATTAAGCAGTTGTTATTTTATTTACTGAAGATAGAGATGCTTTATATTCGTGCATATTAAAAAAAATTTTGTTTTCAGAATCAAAAATTTCCACTCAAGTTATCCGTTTCAAGGCATCAAGAAGTTAATGTAGTATGTGTATTCTCATGCTGCCTTCAATTAGTCAAACTATACCAGGACTTATCATGTCTAATAAACTTTTAACCTATTAAAAAGTAAAAGTAAGCATTATATTAATACTGGAATCGTACCTCTCCAAAGAATGCTGGAAGCTATGAAATGCCTCTAGCACTTTTCTGTCAGCAATATGAAGTGCTCCACAAATTACCCCAAGCAATACATCCGGTTTCTCGGACTGAACTCTTTCAGATATAAGAAGATCCAACCACTGAGTATCAATTGTATTCTCCTAAAATTTTATAATTTATCAGAGGACAGTAAAAATAAATATTAAAACTTAATTTTTAAAATCAATTTTTTAAAAAATAAATTAATTTAAAATTAAAAAGTAAATTAAAGTTCACAAGTGGCTTCATATGATAGACAGACATCTATTATTTTCAGAAAGTGGAGAAAAGTCAATTTTTGTTTTATAGGTTCAACTTAAACTGTTTCTGATGACTTTATTTAAAGAACGTTCAAGATGAATCACAAAAAATCAATCATTAGAATTGGTCTAAATTGAAGTTAAGTTACAAAAATTTGCTTTCTCTCAAATTTTTAAAAATGACAGATGTTCGTTTTTGATATGAGACCAGTTATATAATTAACTCACTTGAAAACTGTCTGTTTCCAAAAGTGTAATAAGATATTCAACTGTTGTCCTAAAATCTCCTCGAATTGACAGCTCTTTAAGAGCTATGACTAGATTTCTGAAACAAACATGAAATGTAAAAATATTATATCTACTTAAACCCTAATTACTTAAATAACAAATTTATTATAAGAATACAAATTCATTTTATTCCTTTAAAACAATATTATTTTTTTAATGTTTATGTATTTCTATAAAAAAATATATTTGGAAGATTAAATAGAGAATTTAAAAAATAAAACTCCTATTTAATGAAACTAATAAAAAGAAAAAATTAAAATTCATCTTGGTATTGTCAACAACAGTTTCAAACGAATTATAGAAGATAAGTAATTTCTACTTTAACATAAAGTTTTTCCATAAAGTCAATAACCAATAACAACCCTAAATAAATAACAGAGGATTAAACAGACAAAAATAATGAAAATTAAAAAAAAAATACATACTCTCGAGCTTGCTCTCTGTTTTCACCCCAAGAAAAGCAATGACCGAATTGCGAATCAGCAAATTCATGTAAGCCACCAGATGCAGCAACACTGAAATAACCCCATACATTCTTTGACGACCGGAAGTTCAATTCTTGTACAGTACCAGAACTCGGTTTGAAACCTAAAGTAAACATACACATACATATATATTATTTGAGATCAAAAAATTTTAAAAAAGTAAAGCTTTGATCCTTTAAACTATTTATGCTAAAACAGGAAAATAATTCTGACCTTCATCAGGGTTTTCACTAGTAATTCTTGCAGCTATAACATGTCCCCATGCTTGAGGCTTATGTCTAGGTTGATCGAAGTCAATCATTGTGTCTCCCCATGGTGATTCTCCATACAAAACTCGAATATCCTTAATATTATGCAATGAAATACCCATAGCAACCTAAAACACCATTTCTCTTTTAATCCAGACTTTTATCAAAAGTTGGAAAAATATTTTTATGAGTAGATTGATAAGAGTTAACAATACAAAACACAGGATTGGAGATAAGGAAAAAACAAAATAAGAATAAATGTACAAATTTTTCAAACAACCCTCAAAAAAATGTGTAAATCAAGTTAAGAAAAGCACCAATAAACCAGGAAAAAAATCATAACCATTAACACATTACATTTTATTTGAACAAAATAAATTATTTTTTTTATAAGCAAGAAAATTTATTTTAGTTTAATGGAGTAGAGACGGTTGACCATGATTATAATATGAGGAGTTGGTTGGGGGTACGATCATTTTAGCAGTTGGTAGACTCTTCCTAATATAATCAGTAGACTATTCCTAATAATAATTTCTACTGAGTGCTAACTGCTTCCAGCAGTGCAAGTGCTGCATACCACGCCCTTATGAAGAACAACAAAGTGGATCGAAACGTCAGTGTTTTAATATATAGTATTTATTTGACTGCACTCTCGACCAACTCCTTCTCATATTTTAATTTAATATTTTTGTTTTACCAAAAACAAATACTCCTTTGAAGTACTTAACACCGAAACCATAATATATGCAATATATTAACACTAATCTTCCCTACAATTAATTGCTGCTATCTTACGTGATTCTCCAAGGAACTGTTTTGAAAAACACAAATTTATCTCCTTCCAAAATTATACCCGACCTATGAACATGAAATTAGATTGAATTTTATACAGGTCCTACCTTAAAGAGATTCTCTTTTGCAAAGTACCTCAACTATGCATCTTAACTAAAGTTCTTTAAGCAACCTATCAATAATTAATAAAAAAATATAACAAAAGAAATGAAAGATATAATTTAATTCTAAGGTACTAAAGACCAGAAGTTCTTTTCAGCATTCTTTCCTTTCAGATAGAAACAAAGTGTAATAATCAAACTTTATTTTAGATATGATTAAATTTGTGATAGTATTATAATGATTTTTGCTTGAATCGTCATCATCATTTCTAAAAACAGCTTAAATACTATTTCTTTTATTAAAAAATTATTACTTAGTCAAAATCAGTTTTTACCTGTAATTGCGATGCAGGTAAATTAACATCTGATACCATTTCAGTACATGGATGTTCAACTTGAAGCCTTGGGTTTAATTCTAAAAAGTAATAGTATCCATCGATATCATAAAGATATTCAACGGTTCCAGCACTAACGTAACCAACCATCTTTGCCAATCTAACAGCAGCCTGAAACAGAATATTTTAATGAAAAATTATATTATTCAATATAAATTAATAAACAAATTCATTTTATTTTTCATAAATAAACTTGAATAATTGTAAATCATTATAGATGGGCATAATCATAATCAAAGGTTACAATTACAGTAATCATGATTACTGGATTACAGTGATCTGGTTACCAATTACGATTGTAATCAAGTAATCGTGTTAATTTTTTTCATTTTAATGAAGTATAAAATTAGCATGGTCATTAAGTTTTATTTTCAGTTATAATCATGTAATCATTGATTCCGATTTTGCCATCTCTGAGCTCTGAGCTCATTACCTTAACCCCTACAAAAAAAATCTTATAAAATCCAAGAATTATAGTTATGTTCATAAACAGTGACACTTTCAAAACATTTGATGATTTCGTTCTTGTGTGGACCCTTTTAAACATATTGATCCTTGTTATCATCATGTAATAGCTAAATTAATTAATTTTTAAATAAATAATATCAATCAAATAACCTTTTCCATATCTTCAAAAATTTCAGGTTGTGCAATCGCTGCAGGAGCTTCTTCAATGATTTTTTGATGTCTTCTTTGAATGGAACAATCTCTTCCAAAAAGAGATATTGCATTGCCATATTGATCAGCAAGTAACTGTACTTCAAGATGTCGGGCACACGTGGCAAGCTTCATAATAAAAATAGGTGATCCTGGGACCTCAGCTTGTACCTACATAATAATAAATTAACAAATATTAAATAAATATTTAAATCCATATCCTTTTGTAAATCAGAAATATATTTTAAAAATTAATTTTTAAATTGTGTTTCCCTTTCCTTAGTAACATATTAAGTCAAAATAATGTTTAATACATGACTAATGCATTCATAATTAAAAAAAAAGTTTAATTATTACGATTAGTCATTTTTTCAGTACAATAAACAACGAGGCGAATAATCATATGAAATTATGTACTTACTTGTCGAAACAGATTAGGAAAATCATCTGCTGTCTCTGCTTTACGAATACCTTTTCCACCACCTCCTTCAGACGCTTTTATCATAACTGGAAAACCTATTCGGTAAGCTGACTGAAGACCTTCTTCAGCAGTCTGTACACATCCTTTCTTATACAGATCAGTGCTGATTTTTATTTTCTTTCCAGAATAATGGGCTTTAAGCTCTAATTTACAATAAAAAAAAAAAAAAAATGAAATTAAAATATATCATAAAATATTAATTAAATTTGCAAGATTATGAATAAATTTATCAATTTTACCTGAACCAGACCAAGGGAGAGTTGGAATGTCAGCAGTTTGAGCTACGATACTGGAGGCAATCTTATCTCCGAGAGCCCACATGGCCTTTTCAGGAGGTCCAATAAAAGCAATGTTATTTTTGTGCAAAAGTTCAGGTAATTTTGGATTTTCAGAGGCATGACCCCAACCAGCCCAAACAGCCTGAAAAAAAAAAAAATAATTGAAACATATATTCAAATTTTAATCTGCTAGGAAGTTCTTCCTTTATGTTCCAAGAGGCTTCATCTGTAGGAGAGTGAACGCATCATAAAAAAGCACATTATTCCTATACTGAGATATTCTTGTGAATCCTAGCCCACGATAAAAAAAAAATAAGAGTCTACTAAAGAGTCCAGAGATTAGATTTCTTTGAAGAAAAGGAGTTGAAACACGATGGGAAATAATTAGGATCACTATAATAAGACAAACCTCAGAGTAAAGACTTAGGAAACTGTCACTGATGATAATCAACTGCAGTGATATGGATGTCATTAGGATGAATGAAAGTAGAATGGTAGAGTAACATAGGTAGATGAATGTAGAACGAGAGGGACAAGAAAATGACATAAAAGAAGCCTTTGTAATCAAAAGCATGGACTGGGGGGAGAGGAAGAGAGAATTGAAAAGAAAGAGAGAAATATGATCTGGACACTGCAGGACTTCTCACATGTAATGGCAGTCGGCAGAAATTTGATAAAGAATATATTCAAAATAAATGACTGAGTGAAGTCCTCTTATCATACCTTAATATCAAACTTCATTAAAATCGAGCATGAAATCTGCAGCATGTGGTGCTCTATCTTTCGTTGGAAATCTCTGGACGCTGTAAAAGAGGGTGGTCTGAAAAGTTTCCGACAGCAACGTGAAGATGGCAGCACTCGTAAATAAAAGCAAGTGAATTTTGTTGTTCATCTATTGACAGTTACCCACCAAAGTTTCAGCCATTTTGGACAAGCAGTTTTTATTAACAGTCGTTTGAATGATTTGATATGAGTGTTTTGTGAAAATGGAAAAAATCGATTATCAAGCTGTCATTAAATATTTGTTTATAAAAGGCAAGATGCCAACGTAAATCAAAGATGAGTTGGATTCTTTGTATGGGAACTCTGCACCATCCTTACCACCTGAATTTACCACAGTGAAATTTTGGGCAGATGAATTTAAACATGATAAATTAAAGTAAGAGAGATAGCAGAGGTTATGAACCTGTCAAAAGAACTTGTTTGTTACATATTAAATCAACATTTAGATATGAGAAAGCTGTCCGCACGTTGGGTGCCGCATTTGGTCATGTTAGACCAAAAATGTGTTCGAATGAACATTTCCAACGCTATGTTGGCGCAATAAATTCCAGGTTTGGAGCCAATTAATTACAGTAGATGAAACTTTGATAAACCATTATAAGCCTGAAACAAAAATGCAGTCAAAACAGTGGACTGCAAAGAGGGAACAGGCTCCAAAAACTGTTGTCAGCTGGGAAAGTGATGGCGACTGGTTTTTGGAATAGTTATGGAGTTGTTTTATTTGACTATCTTCAAAAAGGTAAAACTATTACAGGAGCATACTACACATCATTACTTGACAAGCTGAAGGCAGAACTTGCAGAAAAACGGCCACATTTACAGAAAAAGAAAATCCTGTTTCACCCAGACAACGCACAGTCTCACACCTCAGCAGTTGCCATGGCGAAAATCCACGAATTATGGTTTGAACTGCTTGACCATCCACCTTATTCACCAGATCTAGCCCCTAACGACTTCTTTTTGTTCCCTTATCTGAAAATTGTGGTCGGAGGACAAAGATTTTCGTCAAATGAAGAGGCAATCACATTCGTGAACAATTATTTGGCAGAGAAAAACGCAGAGTACTTTTCCGACAGGTTACAGAGATGGGAGCATCGCTGGGCGAAGTGTGTAGAGTTACAAGGGGACTACGTTGAAAACTAAAAAAAAAATTTAAGACAAAATGTCTTGCATTTTATTAAGTCGGAAACTTTTCAGACCACCCTCGTATGTGCCAGTTCTCAGTCAGTGTGGGTATATTAATATTAAAGATTGGATATAGGAAAAAATCAATATATTCTGTAGCCATGTTGATAAATAAACATAAATAATGCTGCAAAATAGGACATATATTAAATCTTCATAAATATTATATAGAGAAAATAAATAAAATATTAAAAAAATATCGCTATTGTATACATAAAACAATTAAAACATAAACCATAAAAATTAAATAAGTAAATAAGAAATACTTACTTGGACCTGAGTTCGCAAAGCAATATCGACAATAAGTTCAACATTAGCATAATTATTATTATTTGTGCCTCCAGGAACAGGAACATAATGATCAGCCATTTTTATATATTCAGCATTAGCTGGGGAAAACAAAAAAAAAATATTATAACAATACTACATATCTAATAAGATTTCTTTGGTTGAATAAATTATTAAATAATTGATAATATTCTCATACCTTTCAAGTCTTCCGGGGTAACCATGACCACGAATCGAATCGCTCTTTCATTCTTAAACATCTCATAGGACCACCTCCTGATAGACCGCATACATTTAACAGCAGCAATTCCATTGTTTGCAATTAATACCTAACAAAGAAATTAAAAATGAAAAAATACAAAAAAGAAGAATACTTAAAGAGATAAACATAACAGCTTTCTCATAATGAGATATGGATTATAAAAAATAAGAGGATCAAAACAAAAAATGAAATATGTAAGAAATCTAAAAAGATAGCTGGGAAAATAATTTAAGGGAAAATTATTTTAAATCATTTAATTAATACAGTAAAATTTATAATTTAATCAAAATAAACAACGGTAAGATAGAGTTGAGGCTTTATCTTTTATAATATTCTTCATATTATTCATTTAAGGATAATATGACATTGCTAATATATGACAACAGTATTAACCAATAATTTAAATAGTAAAAATCATGAAGTCAGCCAATTTTTGTCATGATGTTAAATATAATGAATTCCTTAATATTTTAAATGGACGTCAGTAAATGTAGAAGACTTAACACTACCAGTTTGGAGCAAGTTCCTAAACTCAGAGAAGGTATTATTGATGGAATCGAGTCCGTCTCTTAACTGGACAAAACGATGCCATCAATTAGCTCAGTGCTGAATCAAAGAACTTGTTCTTAATGTTTATTGAAAAATAAAAACAAATATTGAAAATAAGATTCTGCACTACTTTTATTTATTTTCAAGCTTTGTTGTTTTCAGTCAGAAAAATGTGAAATGTAATTTAAATGATTTAAAAAAAATTATTTTCATTATTAATCAGAAAACAAAAAAGACATTACTGTCAATACTTTTATACAAAGGATATTAATAAGTTAAAAATGCAAAGCAACAATATGAATGTTAAAGTTGACAACATCAGAATATTAACTGACCTTGAGAGATAATTAAAAACACTGTATCAGGAATGAAATCTTCAATTTAATCATATTTTGTAAAACAGTAAACAACATTTTGTAATCAATTTCATATTAAAACCAAAACAACATTTGATAAGAATTGAATAGCCAAGTAACTAAATATATTTTTATTTTTCTATCATAACTTTTAACAATGGTAACATATATGTAAGAAATATTCATCTTATCATTATCCTAACTAAATGAATCATGTTTTGTTTTAATAAATAACTATATAAATCAGGATTGTTGTTGACTACAAATAGTTATCTTTCAAAGAAAAACATATTTATCACACCTTAGAATGAAAAGTAAATTATTTCATTTTTATCTAGGGTAGTTAAGAAAGACATGACTACAAATTAATAATATAAAATCGATAAGTATGGGACTTACACAGCCACAAAAAAAAACTCATTATATAAAGCTTACAAATGATTTTAAAACTAATCATTTGAGCTAAATAAAACAGATTCATAGTGTTCTGTATTCATTCAATTTATCATAGTTCAAAGGTGAACATGATTCAGAAACTGTCCAAATTATTATTATAAGGGTAAAAGAGATTAATAAACCTGTCAAACTAAGCAGACTCTTGGGATGGTTAAAGAAAAGCTGTCTTGAGTTAAAAGAAAGGAAAAAACTCCAAAGGCTAATTAACTGATAACATATTGCGTTATCACAGATGATTATCAGTAACCGGTTGACTTGATAAAAACTGTCAAAACTTTATAAAGTAACCAGACCACATCTTACATTTTAGCATATTCGAGAATTTGAATAAACCACGTATTAAAAAAGCGGTTATAGGAAGGTTAACCTTACCTTGTTGATAACCTTGGTCCCCTTGAACCTCCTAACAAACTCTTCTGGTGTAGCTACGGTGAAATCCTTTTCAAGTTGTCTTTGGTGTATGACAGTCCCTTGGGACATGCTCGGCCTGGAAAATTTGAAGAAACCAGACATTTTAGAAAGTGATATCAATCCCAACTGCTGGCAAACTGTGCACAATTAGCACTCGTCTCCGATAGGCATCAAGATAAATCGAACCAAGCTAGAGTCACATGATACGAATTCACGTTTCATCTTCACTGTGCATGGCTGTGTCCACTCAATATCGGCTAATTTGAAAAACGGAGTGATATGTATTCATTATCTGATAACGCCATCGTGAGAGGAGTGCCCACAGTTGCCGTGTTATATATTTAATTACATTAGCCATCATTTGAACTGCCCTGTGCTTGAATCACAAACCCCATACGTACCAGAACCATTTTATTATAACATTTGGAAGAACACTCTTAATTTGCATAAATAGATTTGTTGATATCAACATTCGACACTGGATACTAAACTTAAGATATATATCCTTGACAAAATGTGCCGTTGCTACGGATATGGAAACCACAGCAGTAAACAACGCATGCGATGACATTAGAACCGATAGTTCGTTAACCTGTCAGTAAACAAATCACTGATTCTTATTTTCAGTAAGATTTTTTTAATTAATAAATTTATTAAAATAAACATTCAAACTTAAACATACCTAACGGGGCTGTAGATCTTCCTAAACCGAAACATTGACAGGTAAGAACTGATATCACACACGGAACCAAAGAATAAACTAAAAGAGATAAAAGGGCTTAAAATTGATATGGTTCCAGGAAACATTAGTATTGTCTGAAGCAACTTGAGATTATTGATAAGAACAATAAAAACCATTAATACCCTTTTTATTTTTAAAACAAAATAAATTACATGTAAACAAAGATGACAATACAATATAATCACAACAACAATAATTTCCAAACATTGCTGACTCCAGTATACAACTCCGTAATCCTAAATTCGTCACGAAAATTATTGTGATTTTATTAACATTTATTTTTAAAGATCTTAGTTCCCACTACATAAAATATCCAACGTAAAGCACTGATTCAAATTCATCTTTTCAATCCAAACTTAAGGATAATAGAGAAGCTAATTCAAATTTTAAGACTGTATATGAGATTAATATAATGAAATAAATGTTCAAAAGACATAGAATTTTTATTCATATGGTTCCTTGTTTATCACAGAGTAGGAAGGACTGGACTACAAAAGGGATGGATTTTGAACGAACAACAGAAGCATTTTTAATTTGAATAGCTCTACAGCAAAAACAATTACATATTTTCTTTTTTTTTTTTTTTTTTTTTTTTAATTTAACGATAACGTAAATAAGTCAGTTCAAACACGGGTTATAAGACACACGCGCAATACAATTTTTCGTCGGAAAAAAAGACATGCAACTGTGCATGTGGTTGAGAGTTTGCTAATAATCAAACCTAGTTATAGAAAAGAACTATGATTTCAATAGGGAAATCATCTTTTTTTTTTTTTCTTTTTTTTAAATATACTGACTGATGACTTGAATGTGAACAAAAAAAAAAGTTTGCTTCCTCACAACCGAATTGTTAGTGTATCTTAATAAGTTAGTGTGAAGTTATTATTCAAGCGGGAGGTTAAAACATTTTTTCTGCACAGAATCGAAACTTTTTATCAGGGTTGCTACCCGTCCAGTATTTCATTGGGCGGTCCCGTTTTTTGACCCATTGTCCTCCTAAACCTACAATCATTTAGTGCCCGTGATGAACAGGATTACAAGATAGGTAGACAAGTTAGAGATTTAAATATTGAAAGAAAAAAATATATATTAATACACGCATATTAATATGGTGTATCAAGTCATCGATATAAAGCCAAAAACAAAAATCTCTTGAGTCACAAACCTCAAGAAAGACGAAAAAGACCATAACATAAGAAGAGGTAATTGACCGAAAATTGTTCAGGACAAAAACATCAATACTTTTACGAAACTCTAGGATGAGGAACTAATAATAATACAGCCACATACATATACACATTTATACATACATATATATATATATATATATATATATATATATATAATATATATATATATATATATATATATATATATATATATATATATAAATTATTCATATAATTAAACTATTCATATAAATATATATATATATATATATATATATATATAAATTATTCATATAATTAAACTATTCATATAAAAATATATATATATATATATACATATAAGGTAAGAACATATATATATTTATAGAATAGTTTTCCCCTTTTCATATAATACTTTTAAAAAAAATGAACTTAGTTAAGTATCTGAGTTACTACAAAAGGGGAGTAAAGAATGAACCAGCCAGTTTCTCGACCTTGACCGAAATCCCCCCAAACTGCATCTTATTAACCGATAAACAAACCAACCTGTTTTGACTTCGTATTCGTGATCTAATCTTGGACGTGCATTCGGACGAGGAATAATTGTTAAACTTTTTTGAATTTAAGCAATCAATTTTTGTTATTAGTATAGTTATTTGATTAATAACTTCTGTATACATAATAAAAAGTTAAAGAAACGAACAACATTGATTTCATTTAAATATTATCCATAAATTAAATTTATTTTATAATTAAATGCATTTAGAACTAAAAAATATAATAATAGATCTCAGGGCTAATAATCGTCAACTTTTCGTTTTTCTTATTTCGTAAGTAAAAAATCTGATTATTTCAGGATTCAAAATTGTAAAAGTTGGTTTAATTAGTTCACTACTGGAAGAACAGTTGTTATTTGGGAATAGGTGATTGTAATTGTTCCTTAATAACTCTTTAATAATAATATTTTTACAATAATTTATGACGTTCGAAGTCGATTGCCCCATCATCAGGTTATTTAACCGCAATACAAATACCACAATAACCATTTAAAAAAATGTTTTAATCACTATTTACTCACCATCTACTTGACGCAAAACAATATATCGTTGTAATTCATTTGAGTATTTTGAAAAAATAAAATAGAATATAAAGATAAACACAGTCAGTAGCGTATCCAATATTTAATTTCGGGTTTTTTTTTTTTCTTTTCTTTTAATAAAAGTAATTACTCTGGGGAAAAAACTATCAAATTTTCACTGAGAATAATAAAAACTATTTTGATATGGAAATAAATAGTTATTGCCAGACCCTAATTTCAAAGGTGATTGAAATTTGCCAATATTTAAAATTTTATTAGATCGGTTTATCTCTTATTAGTTTAAGGATCCGTCACGTTGAACTGCATCGTTTTTTTTTTCCTTTACAGCGAGTGATTTTTGCGTGATATCTATCATGTAAATGATTGAACTATCATTCGATTAGCTGTTTTATTTTCAGAGCAACAATGAAGTAATTATAAATAATTAAAAACTACATAGCGAGAAGTATATAAAATGTAATTGAAATGTAATGTAAATAATTCGTAAATGAATTAGCAATAATTAAAAATTTAATTAATAATTAAAAACAAGCCTTGATCACTGCAGCAATCAGATTGTTTCCAATGTTACAAAAATATGCACATTCTGTTCATGTTGCTATGTTACATACATATGATCATTGAGAAAAATAATTCCGGGGAATCATCGTTATAATTTTACTAAATTATTTTTACGCCGATTTCAAAAAGAAAAAAAAACTATTAATATTACTTACTTATAAATAACTTATAAATAAAACAAACATAACAGTATATAGTGTATATATTAGGTCATTAACTAATAAGATATTTAAATAATAAACGTAATTAAATACTTTATTTCTATAAAACTCTAATAACAGCAGGTATATCATACATATGAATATAAGATGACAGTTATTTTCAAGAAAAAACTAATTGTTTAATAAACATCAAAGTTTACGTAATATCAACGTACCCACATTGTGCTTGATATAAACCAAGGTCACAATTAAATAGCTAAGCGGAAGAACACGTTATATTTAAATGACTTTGAATCAGAGAAAAAAATAATTTTATATTCATATTTCAGTATGGAAAACAAAATTTTTAGCTTGTGAAAACAATCACAATTTAAGGTATAGACAAATTGAACAGGTTAATATTTAGCAAAGAATGTTTAAAGTATAGTAGTATATTTTTTCGAGTCTCAGGAGTCGTTAGATATTTCATATTTTATTTGTAACTAAATCCACGTTTTGACAAAAATGTGAAATAACACGTTCTTTAACTTACGGTTAGGTAAGTATGTTCGTTAAAAATTAGTATCCTATATATTATTTCTAAAAGGTGTTTTTTTGTCGGTACGCCATAATTTCGTCATTTCTTCATCAAATCAAATGATTGACCACTCATTTTGAAGATATACTTCTCCTTCACATGCGAAAAATAGTCCCATTCCCCCGAAATTTCTGAAAAAAAATTATGGAGGAAAAGAAACTTTATTTGCGAATAACTCAAAAAGTAAGCATTTTTTTCTTGATTGTACCTATGATAATTAGAAAGATTAATAAATTATCTACAAAACAAAAAATAATCGTAAAAATCGATTAGAAATATGAATAATTTAAACAATTTGTATTGACGGAAGGACTAAAGTGTGTTGAAATATTTTTATCAGGAGAAACAGAGTTGAGATTTGTATTTCACAGCTCGAAAGACCCTCGAATACGTATTTTCATTTCGATCGAAAAATAAAACATTTTTTTTCTACAAATTTGTACTAAGGCTTCCCCCCTTTGATTTTATTTCGCAAATCACAAACATTGTTATAACTTCAATATTGTTCCACATATTCACACTAAATTTTGCAGAGAATAGGGTCTTATAAACTACACGAAATGACACAAACTGTACCTTCCTAAATAATTTAGAATGCAAGTTATAAAATAAAAAACTGTTAGGAGTTTTTATTTATTTACTCTTTATAGACGTGTTAAATCAAAAAGTTATTTATACGGTCTTGAAGAGCGATAATTCAGATTTCCAACGGTTGAAGATGCAAACATTGAATTAGGATAAAATCCTGAGGAGTTATGGATGTTTTAGTTAACGGCAGGCAAAAACAT